CTGAGTATATTCTTTTTCGTGTCTATCTGCTAAACACAATAGGGAGAACATCAACATTGTACTCCAAGAGTCGCTGTTTTCATCCTCGGGCGAGGAGAAATTTCTCCCTGACAACTGACATCGAACATTGAGTCTAATCAATGGTCAATTGGCTTTAACTACTGATTCCTAAATAAAGTTGGATCATGTTGGATTAGTAGTCGGTCATATGCTGAAACATTATTCATTTCAATAAATTCGGGTTGGTAGATATATATTTTTTATTGACGGTTAGGTCGAATATGACCAAAATGTCTCTATTAACTTTCGTTTTATCTTTTATACAATACAAATGTTCTTTCTCGAAACAAAAACGACCAGTGCGTTGTAACACCGTGCGTTTCAGCTTCTGTCGTATGGAGTAGCGTCTGCTGCGATTCTTTAATTTTGAGGAATCTTAACCCTTACCACGCTAACAATCTTAAATGGACTTGTCCGTATTTCAATCATGACGAAACCATTTATCATTTAAAGGAACAATCCAAGATAAGTACTAACTGAATATCAAACAGGGCAGGCACCCATGTGCTGGTCATGGTCTGCACTGGTCGCATGGGTAGATTCAGTGGTTGCCAGATAGCTAGCTAATGGTTTTTAAAGAGATCCTAAAGATAGAAAAGAATTAGAAAGAAGCTGGCATGTTTAACAGGGCCTAATTTGACGAACGCGCGCATTTTATTAACATATTTAAGTACTGTGATTATGTTTGATTGGTGGTCATTGACAATTATAGTAGGTTTGTTTCGGTTTACGACACATAAGGAGCAATAAAATAGTACTAAAATTTGCTTCAAGGTGTGGGGCATTGTCATGGTCGGACGAAAACAACTCAATTTACTAAATAATTATGCTAAAAGGATAAACATGTTCCCTCTCTAAAACAGTTTTTCTGTAAAAAATGTAAAAGTTCTTTTTTGGTCCTAGTTAAGAAGTGTGTTCCGTTCGTATATTTCTATTTTATAACAGTCGAAGAATTACACGGTTCATCTTAGAATATTAATTTTTCACAAGATAGTAGAGGGTAAATAGTTGAATGAGTGTAAAAACTGTTCAAAACTGAAATTTTTAAACGAGTTCACAGCAATATAAAAACAAAAACAAAAAATTAGTAATAGTAAATGATTTGTTTTCTTCCATATGAACCGTAAAGAAAGCATTTATAGATTTGTTGCGTTTGCACGGTGAATATCAATTCATTTTATTTTGAATCATATGGAAAACTACTCAGTGAAACTTTGATCGTTTCTATATATTAAATGAGGATAAAATTCAGGTAAATTTCCCAGGCGTTCGCTAAACAATGCATTGTTAAAGTATAATTAGGCATGATATAAACAAGTATTTCTGGCGTCGATAAGAAGCGGCGAAACAGGCCTAACTTCAAAGACTTCACGTGAGGTTGAAGTTCGGGTTTTCTGTTATTTTTACAATGAATTTAACTTTTTTTGCCAGAATAACATGTAACATTTACCTTTCCAAAACTTGAACGTGCATCATTAATAAAAAATCTTAAAAATTAAAACGACGTTACCGTTGAAATAAATCCGTTAAAAAATCAGGCTAAAGTATTAAAGAATTGAAAAGGCATAAAGCAGATTTACTTTGATTATATGCGAATTATAGGCCAGCAGCAATGCATGGAGGGACTTTGTAGTCTTCTTTTATCACTAATGCTGTAAAGTCAACACATGGCCGCTTTAGTGCTTACTTTAATTTCGTTGATATTTTTGTGAAACTGTTGTTTTTGCGTGATTAATCTCTGCTAGTTTTCTTACATAATACAGCTCATGCTTATAATTTTCATAGTTTGATGTATTCATATCGTTTCGGTCTATTTTATATTTTTTAGCTTTGTCATTGAATTGTTATTTACTAGATCTCCCCGTTTTGTTCACGAATATAACTAAACGAACGTGAATATGATTTAGAATGTACGTGAACATAACTTAAAAGAACGTACGCAAATAAAACTTAGAACGTATGTGATTTTCACTTTAAACGTACATGAATATAAGTTTCTTTGTCTTAATCATTGTCTTGCTTAATGCGTGAAATAGCCAGATTTCCTTTTGAATCATCTTTTAAAGTTTTGTTTTTATATAGAATACATCAATATTTGAGTATTCAAATCTTAAGGGATTGGAGAAAATGCAAGGAAATGTATATTATATGGGCTGTTTAGTAGTCGTATATATCTGAAAGTTTTGCAGAAAACCCGCTTCTTATCGTTGAGAGAGATGCCTTGATATTTCTTCAGTTTGTATAATTCCACGCATGTTGCCATCACAGATTTCAACAAGTCAATTCTTTACTAAAATCTTTTTGCATTTAACATGCATTATTCATTTAAACTGTTCCGTCCGCTTTTAGCTTATCCATATACACATTGTTATAGTAAAAATCTTTATTTTAATAATTTATGGAACAATATTAGCCACTTTAACAGTTGTACTAAATCTTACAATTTTGCGATGTTTATATCGAAGGTACTTTACGTCGGAAAGAAGAAAGAGGCTTAATTTCAATCAATGAAACATTTTGAATTGACGAATGTACAAACAAGGTATCATTAAGGCATTTGAATACTATAACGTCTATTTAAATCGTTTAAACTTTTAAAATAGACACTGTCCTCTGTTGCAATCTCCTTGTTATAATGGCTATGCAACTTTATACCTAGTATTAGACGGCAGTATGTGACACTTAGGCTACATTTGTTGACATAACTGGTACAGTATTAATACATTATATTGTATATCTCACCAAAAACCCCTCGGACCGTGAGAGGATATCTTCTATAATGTACGATAATACTCGTTTTATATTAGTCTAACCTATACAGTAATATGGGGAACGGTTTTGATTTAAATACAGACTCTATTGTGTGTGTGTTTTTTTCTTCTTTATTCTCTAAAATTGAAGATTATGGAAGATAAGGTATTCAAACGTCTACTATGGCAGTGAGTGCACTTTTATAAAATACATTTGTCGAAGTTTTGTAATGATGATGTAAAATATGATGAAAATTATACACTTGATATTTAAGTGAAGTAGGTAAATGTTGGTGTGTTGGTGCTACATGTACCTTGAGTATCATTTCATAGATAAGAATAGCTTATACATGATTTCAGTGTCAGTTGAAAAAAAATGTTACAGTTGGGGTGGGGGGGGTGGTAGGGGCGGGACGTAGATCTGTCTCAATTTCAAATTTCTTATTGGTCAGACTACATTTTGTGCCCATTTGTAAACAAATTAAGTACCTGGCATATGAGTTTGGGCTCGGGAAAATCTTTTGTAACCCTTATCCCTTTAACCCTATACTTAAAAAAACAAAGATAACATTTATGTTTGTTTAAGAAGAGCACAGACGTCTTTGTTCTTGCAGTTATCATTTATATTGTTATTTACGATGGGCTGCATTTCAGTCACCTATGACACATGTTATTTTTCGTCTCCAATTTTAGTTTGGTTAATGTGGAATTTTTCGGATATGATTCGCTGTTATGTTTGAGAAATGCAGTTAATGTGCTAAAAGCATGCGTATCTTAAAAAAAACTCTTTTAATTCAATTTGATCTTTTTTTCAATTTGATAACCTTGTGTATATTTAAGTGATAACGTTTACTGATAAATAAACCAGAAACATACGTCGGGGATTTTTAATCAATGGCTGAACAGTACTTCTTTAGTGCCTTTTTTGACTCCTATTAAACTTTGGTGTATTAAGTTTAATTTGATATACAATGAAATAAAGCTCAGCTTCATGACCTCTACAAAAATAAAGTTCGGCTACAAAATAAATATTTAAATGGGTTCTACAAAAAGAAGTAAAATTATGCCAGAAATTATTCGCCAATCTGCAACAATTATCTTTTAAGTCTAATGGTTTAATTCATTTGCAAGAAAAGTAAGAAAATGTCTTAAAGATATACTTGCTGTGTAGTTTCACTCTTACACTTGACAAATGACACACATTACGCTGAAGGTGTAATTTGGTGTGGTCATTCTACGTCATAATTACAAACATAGCCTTTCCAAAAACTGCCTTAGGTCACGTTCTGTCGGTTTCATTATTCGTTATCATTTTACTTTCGCAATACACAAGCTACAAAATAAAACAAATAGTTTCATCATTTGTGTATTGTTTAAACTGTTGTTGAGTTGTATTATTTAAACTTTTAAAGAGTACTGCGCTTACTATATAGTGTTTTAACTCCATAAGTGCAGATGTATTGCGCAAGAACTCTTCAGGCTTGAAGGAAAATATACTACATGTATTTGTTTGTGTTAATAAACCCAACGGAAATAAAAGTGGTTTATTCATTAATCTCTATTGAGAAGGATACTTTACTGAATATTACGTGTGTTAAGTAACTTATAAATAACATAGGATTTACTAGATATTTTCGTACACAATTGTTGGTAAGTTTACATCATTTGGATTACATTTTTAATACCTGCACAACAATAAGATAAGGTTTTATAAACTGCCCTCCCTCAAACGAAGCAACAGTAATGCACTTCATAATATGAAGGTCTTACATTTTAGTTTTTAATGAATTGAATAAAAATCATATTTTGAATTCTAAGTTAAGTTACGATTACATATATAATTATGTTCATGAATTGATAGTAACTTAAAATAACATTTTATTTTTTTCATTTATCTAATTTGGTATACAAGTAAAATATACCCCAAACTATTTTATATCTCGAACTATTTCATATCCCGAACTATTTGATATCCCGAACTTTTTGATATCCCGAACTATTTTAAAACAATGTCAGCTAATTCGAAATAAACGCAGCCAATGCAGACACATACATTCATGTTGCATTTTAACTTGTCATTGTTAATTTACATACTGCATATTTCACTTTGCCGAATGAGGTAATTTAATTAATTAATACAGCAGACGACAACAATAGTTATACGAATGTATAGTTTAAACTATTTCAGTATGTTATAACATGTATATAAATTCATTGATCACTGGCCATGTTTACCTATTCTTCGCTTTTAATACATTTTAATAGATATATAAATAGTTACCATGGTAACCACTGGCTGCACTGGAGTAGGTGACGCTGATAGATGACCAGTCATTGTTTGTGAAAGGATAAATATAAACATACTGTCTTCTTACTCATAAATCGCGTATACAACTTTTTAAATCTCTTATTCGTAAGTGAATCGTGAATCGCTCGAATAATTCAATTCGGATACAAGTGATGTTTAGTATGTGCCGAAAAATAATTCGGATTTTTGGTTTATTTTTTCAAAACAGGATGTTTGAACTTGGATGTTTGGAGAAAAACAAACCCAATATCCATGTCATGTTCCTAAATTAATAGCCTTTTGTATTGAAATCGGATAGACTGTTATTTAACATGGTATCGTATAAACCGAATTTTTAAACATCGCGTTGAGAAACTTGAATACTGTCATAATATTATACTAGTTGGAAGATCAAAATTTTTCAAATCTCATAAAGCGATAAGGCAGAAACACCAAACTAGTTTGGCACGGTGTTGCGAAGTGTTTTTGATTAAAGTTATTAAGTATAGGATTTTTAAACTTGTGTACGTTTGAACTGTGTATTTATCAGTTCTTTCTGTATATATGATAAACGGAGTTACCAATATTTTGGTAAGTTTTTGAAATTTTACATGTTCTTTGATAAATTTGATATAGCAGTTTAAATATATTTTTTACGTATATGAAACATTTTAGTTCTTTATCTGCATGGTTTGTACGTATAATAAGAACAATGTACTTTAAATAAGTGTGTGCTCTAAATTGTAATTAGAGGTAATTTGCCGGCATGTTGCATAGAAAAACTTTGAAATAATATTTAGATAACATTCACAAATAGAACACATTTGATATCTTTTAATAGAAATTTAAGTAATAAGTTTGATAAGTGTTGAATACAGTAGAAATTATATTGATATAAAATTTGTCAAAATTGACAATCCGATTTTATTTGCTTAATGGTGTTATAATTGATGACCACATTTACTTTCGGTCACTACAAAAGTACTAAAGATCAAAGAGCGAAATAGTTTACATTTGTGGATATATTCATGTATTTTCACAAATATATTTGGGGAAAAAAACATAGACGGGTCCAATTATTCCAACGTGGTACAGTATTCAAAGTTGAATAAATATTATTCTGCAGAATAGCATAGAACATAATAATATAATATGTGTAAAAACTAATTTGAAAATAAATCAGTTTAAAGGGTGAAATGACAAATATATCTGTTTTTATTACCAATATGGTAAGGAATGGAAATGTTCTCTAATATTCAATCTATCTCATGGTACTTGTTAATGAAACAGCAATATTAATATTTTAATAAATATGTTATTCATAAATAGCAATAACTAATTATGACGCTTCTATGTATACACTGCCGTCAATCGCATTTTCTCGGCCCTTTCCGTAAAACCTCGGATAATTGGTAATAGCCGAAATTTCCGATTGGTCGTACTGAGATTTTCAGATTACGTACTAAATTTTCGTGTTTTTTCTTCTTTTCTTTTTCTTTTTGGTGTTTTTTTTTCTAGCTCGATTAGTTTATTTTCTTTCTAAGCCGGCTGTCACCGCCTGACAAATTTGAAATGTTCAAGTCGAAGATACGGTATCAATTTATCATACAAAAACATAATAGGGTGTTTTTGGGTTAATCTTAGATAAACAATTAAAGAAAATTGTCTGATTTGATTGATTGGGAGAAGTTTTCTTAACAATTTTGATTTTCAAGGTAATTTAGCGGATATTTTTTTATATATCAAATGTTGTTTGTTTGCCCCAATAGTGTATGCCTATCTGCTTGTTAAATATAGATTTCAAATGTGCGTAAAATGGAATTTTGTAGACACAAACTTAAAATAGCGAGACTATTTCCCACATCTACAATATCTAAATCAGAAAACAAAACAAATCTTGTCCAGGTAAATATACGGATAGTGCTCAAAAGCAAATCCATTTCCAAGGCCAAGTAAATATCAACGCACACATGCACCGCTTGATAATTCGCAGCATGGCAATCTATTTACAATTTGCATTAATTCAAAGATTAGATTCTTGTTTCATTGTTATTACGTTAACAAACAAGCAATGTCATTCAGTATATTGTGCGTTTATAAACTATTTGCCACAAACACAAAACGTGTAATTGACTTTAACAATTCCACAAACACACACAAAAAATGTAATTCTAATCTTTATCACTAAGCAGCAATACATACAAGCAATGAATTTGAAATTCCTGGAGAGATTAGTCGTAATCATTTTGCTAGTTTTTGTCTTATAAGTTACACAGTTTGTAACCAATACCTAACAATGCATGCAGTTTTCAAGATGAAATGACGTTGATGAATAGAGCAAGCAGGCTTATCTTTCAACAGTTAGCTTGCTGATTTTGTCCATTATTTTTGCTTTCCTAGCTAATTAAGAAATTCTGAAAGCGTTATAAAAAAATTGAATGATTAAAGGATTACAGGTCTCCAAGTCATGAGAAAAGTAAGATTTCATCAATGTATGATTGATGTTCCCATTGTTTTCAAGTTCAAGAATTCTTTATTACCTTTGCCCACCGATATATAATCAGGCCGACCTGCACCCCTGTGCATTATGACAACTCGGGCTTTATACTAAACAAAGCTTGTGGACAGAGTATTACCTGATTTCTTTTTAAACAGAAACGCAAAAGTGTTGTACGAAACATCCTTGAATTAGTAGATACCAAATATTAGTTTGAAGACGCATTATGCGCCAGAAATAATTTGTAGCTTTTTTAATTTTACAATTTTGCAATTTACTCATTAGACAATAACCTGAATCATATTTTGCTTCCGTTTCTTTCTGAAATTAAGCACAGTTATAGTGATTTATTATTTTGTATGGAAGTCAAAATAAAAATCTACTACTTTACATTTTGCTACTTTCTGACGAATGATTTCATATTCAGTGCTACTTTCTCCAAGTAATAAGTATCCAACAAGCTCTAAAATCATTATTCAAACATTTTACTGCTCATGTTTACCCTGTTTAAAAAAAGAAAGAAAATATTTGTTTTTTGTGGCATAATGTGCCTTTAAGAATCAATGTTTTATTTCAATGGCCTAATTGAAACACATTTAAAAACAGATTGCATCGAGATAAAGTGATAACGGCTGTGAATTCACCTATAGCTATAGATAATTAATATTTGTCCTCATTTGCCCAAAGCAATGTAATTGAGATTTATATCTAATACACCTCTGTGCCAGTGTACACAATGAGCAGTTTATTATGCATGACATGTAATCGTATGAAGTTTTGGCTAATGTCTGTCTAATTAACAAAGTGTTTTATACAGGTATAGAAAAATACATCGACACCGTGTCTATTTTTACAAGATGCGCACGCGGATAAAGACATGCTGATTTAATTTGATCATTAAAAGTAGCGTTTGAGTTAAAGAGATTTCACGCCCCTTGAGCAAACTATGAATTTGATGTCCTTTTTTTACGCTCCGAGCAACACTATACTGTATTACTTTTTAGTGACCTTGGCCTTTACAAAGTATTTTAGTTAATTAATGATTTTGATTAATTTGGTCACAAATAGCTAATGGGATTTTACACGAAACACAGTGTTACATTGTTTCTTATATTTCATTCACTTACGAGTATTGATTAACTTAGAATGTTAAACTTATGTTTGTATATGTCTTATTTTAGCAAACGATTTTAATTTGGACCAAATAGTATGTTATTATGAAACAATTTGTATCTATGTCAATTTTGAATTGCTTAAGGCCAATTTCTGTCTCGTTAGATCTTTCTTTTTCTGAACATAAGACAACTGTTTCGTTTATTGTAATTTGGTTAAGGTTTATGCCTTCTCGTTGTCAGATACGCCACCTAGTGGTCAGTTATTGTTTGTTAAGGGATCAGTTAAACCACACTTTCATCTGCGATAAGTTTTATATTAGAATTTTAACTCTTAATCGCAAATCTCACGGACACGTCAATATCTTTGATGAAAGTTTACCTCAACTGAATATTAGTATACATGTTAGTAAAATATTGAATCGTAAATTATTGAAGTTTTTTCTTATTGTTTTGTTTTTGTTGGTCTTAGTGGATTTGATTTTCCTGTGCAAATCGCTTATTTCTACATCTTGTGAAAAAAGCTCATTACTACATCTTGTGAAAATCGCTCATTACTAAATCTTGTGAAAATCGCTCATTACTACATCTTGTGAAAATCGCTCATTACTACATCTTGTGAAAATCGCTCATTACTACATCTTGTGAAAATCTTTCATTACTGTACTACATCTTGTGATATCGTTCACTTCTACATCTTGTGAAAATCGTTCATTATTTCATCTTATGAAAATGGCTAATTACTGCATCTTGTAAAAAATTCTCATTACTACATCTTGTAAAAATCGTTAATTACTACATCTTGTGATATCGTTCATTACTACATCTTGTGAAAATCGCTCATTTCTACATCTTGTTGAATCGTTCGTTACTACATGTACTACATTTTGTGAAAATCGTTCATTACTACATCTTATGAAAATAACTCAATCTTACCAAGTCTTTACTTTTTACTTATTGTTTCGTTTTTGTTGATTTTCAAAGTTGTTTTCCTATTATAGAGTTATTAACAATAGAGTAGCTGGAATCAAAATCAGAATTGAAGCCTGGCGTCATATTTCAACAGTATAACATCAGTTTATATAAAAAAGCAAATACAATTAAGATGTTGAAATGTTTGGATCACGGTGTCAGCGGGGCGACTTGACGGATTTACATTTTCTCATTCTTCGTCACATTCGAAAGAAGCGCCTTATGTGCTGTTAACAATATACTATTATTATACACTTGTAAATGGATATGGCATTTAATTGTCAATAGAAACATTCTCAGTGTGAAGTTACAACTGTTTAACCTTGTGAAATGTATCTTGAAATTCATCAAAGTTTTAAAACTCTTTTCCGTTACCATTGTCAATCTCGGATGACGGTTTTAACATGGATTTAAAAAATTTGAAATTTACTTTAACTTGAGATTAAAACATTAGCGTGTTGTATAAGATTGATGGATAAATGAAAATTGTGTGCTTACAATTTTAATAATAAAGGAAATTATAGTATTAAGTGGACGTAAGTAAAAGACTGTTTATAAGATACTGTTTTTAACTTTTGTATAATACGAGTACATGTATAAACATATCGATTAGATGTTTTGGTAATGATTTGTTTTTGATAATCAGGAGTTATTGTTTGAACTCTTTCTCAATGTTCAGTACATTAAAGCCTGTATATTACAGTACATTAAAGCCTGTATATTACAGTACATTAAAGCCTGTATATAACAGTCCATTAAAGCCTGTATATTACAGTACATTAAAGCCTGTGTACTCTATAATGTCAGTTTAACCCATAACCTGTTGTACCAGATCGTGATAAGTCTTTGTCACCAGTATAAATCAATGCTAGCCTTCACGTCTCTGAAGTCTGAAAAGGCTCCTTACTTTCGCATACCAGGCTGTATATTTTGGCGTATTCTTTACTCTTGGTGTACCAAGCTGTATACTTTTGGCATACCAGGCTCTATATTTTTGGCGTACCAGGCTTATTTATTTGGCGTACCAGACTCTATATATTTGGCGTACCAGGCTTTATATTTCTGGCTTACCAGGCCCTGTTTTCTTGGCGTACCAGACTCTATATTTTTGGCGTACCAGGTTCTATATTTTTAGCGTAGCAGGCTTTTTTAGTTTTGGCGTACCAGGCTCTATATTTTTGGCGTACCAGGCTCTATATTTTTGGCGTACAAGCTTTATATTTTTGGCGGACAAGGCTCTATATTTTTGGCGTTCCAGGCTTTATATGTTTGGCCTACCAGGCTTGTATATTTGTTGCACCAGGTTCTATATTTTTGTGGTATCAGGGTCTATACTTTTGCCGTACCAGGCACTATATTTTGACGTACCAGATTCTATACTTCTAGCGTACCAGGCTCTATACTTCTGGCGTAACAGGTTCTATATTTTTGACGTACAAGGCTCTATATTTTTGCCTACCAGGCTCTATACTTTTGTCGTACCAGACTCTATACTTTCGACGTACCAGGCTCTATACATTTGTCGTACCAGGTTCCAAACTTTTGGCGTACCAGGCACTATACTTTTGGCGTACCAGACTCTATATTTTTGGCGTACCAGGCTTTATACTTTTGTCGTACCAGGCTCTATATTTTAAATTGCATCCCAGACTTTATACTTTTGGCGTACCAGGCTCTATACTTTTGACGTACCAGACTTTATACTTTTAACGTACCAGGTTCTATATTTTTGGCGTACCAGGTTTTTATATTTTGGGCGTACCAGGCTCTACTTTCTATACTTTTGGCGTACCAAGTTCTAAACTTTAGGCGCACCAGGTTTTATATTTTTGGCGTAACAGACTCTATATATTTTGCGTACCAAGCATTATACTTCTGGCGTGCCAGGCTCTATATTTTTAGCGTACCAGGCTTCTTTTTTTTGCGGACTAACGTGAAAACTTTAATCATAGTATTCAATTGGACATTTTCTTTAATCGACCCTGAAGTATAGTGTATAAAAATTATCTACAGGTTAAGGGTTAAAAATGAAATTAATTGTATTATCCAGGAGCGTATGTGGAAACTAAGCTAATTGTCTAATTTGTCACTGATTATATAAGTATACGGTATCTTTCTTTGAGGGTCAATAAATAACGTTTGTTACATTACTCTCCGACAATTAAATACAGAAATTAATGTCCCTTGGCCTGGTTACAGTTATTATGTTGTTGATAATTTACATAAATCATAATTTACATAAATCATGTTATGTTTTTGTATAATTTATCATTGTACACTAAAGCCGTAACTTTTATCTTTTTAAGCACTGTTGTTTTTTTACACCATAAAGATTGTTTCTCTTATAAAATAAAGAATGTTTTATTTTCTCATTTATAAAAATTCGTTTTAGTAAATCACATATATTACAATCATTTACGTTTCGTAATCTTATATAAAGAGTACTGCAGCATAATTTATCATGTTATATAACGATAGGGTTTTGGGCAAAAAATCAACACTTTCTTAAGCTGCATGCCTCCAGATGAGCCAAAATGTTTCTTGAGAAAACAATACTAAGTTTTTTAAAGTAGTAAAATGGTTTCAGACTTTTGCATATTTTGACTTCATTTTGGTTATTCACATGGACTGTAAGTGATGTTTGCAATGTGTAAATTACTTCATTTGTTCTCTTCACAAAATTTTACTTATAAATACATTTTTTTAAATTTTTCATGAAAGTTAACATAAATGTGGAAACATGCTGCTTTAAAAAATCTTTTTTACCAATATGATACGCTTTCGAAGCCTATGGAAATAAGCCTACTTTTTCGCAGTAAAATTAGTATTGCATGTAGTATTAAATTAGAAATACTAATAAAACTAGTATAAATCTTAAATAAGAATAAGTAATGAACACTGGTATCAGTACATGTACTCTTACATACAGGGTTCTTGCATATATCATGACCCTGCTTCGGTGACCAACTATGTAATGTACAAGCTGCCTAAAGGTGGCGTACGAAAAATATCAACACGTGCACCGTGAAAAAAATAAAGTAAGCAGTTGTTCATCGGGTGAATAAAAACTACTCCGGCGCTGAAACTGAATCCCATACTCGTGAAGAAAAATGATTAAATCCGTGATCATGTATCATTTAATTGTATAAAAAAGACATGTAATGAAAAGACTTTGGACAAAAAAGAATGTAAAATATCGAAAGTAATTGCATGTTACAGGGAAAGGTTTTTGTGTAACCAAATTAGATTTTGAAAATGAAATCGAGCGTTAAACAGCGCGTCTTGAGGCAGCCATCACTCACGTTGCTGCGTAGTTTATTAATTCTAGCAACGGCGTTGACTGTCAAAGCTTGTAGTTTGGGTTCGTCTTTCACTGCAGGAACCTGATGTGCTATATCTTCTTTCGCGCACGTAATTTTATTATTTGTGTAAGGAAGTTGATCATATTCCAGGTGTGTTTCGCTAAAGGAATAGTTTTAATGACAAATTTGATAAAGCATTAGCTCAAAACGAGATATGTTTTATATTCTATTTAACAGGAATAAAAAGTTATGCTATATAAGTAAAATAGAGTTATAATGACTTTGATGTGGATTGAGTATGTAAATATGCGTGACAAAAATCATTTTTAGAGAGTGGATTTCAGTATGGTTGGTCAATTGAGCTCCTCGCCACGTTATTTTTTTCATTAATTCAAACTAATATTTTTAAGATATTGTCAACATGGTATGTTTTAACACACTGGATATTTAATGTTATGTTTTTACGTAATGTATTCACGTATATTCATGCCAATTTACTCTCAGAAAGAACGATGTAAATATTCGAAAACTCTTCTCACAACATGCATCCGATTGCATTACTTTAAGGAGTTGATTGATTCTTTTACACAGAGGAAGTATCGTGTGTTGGTGTGTTTTTCATGCTATGTTTTAGATGTTTTTATATTCTGTATTTCTTATTTTCAGAGTTAAATGAGTTAACAAATGGCAACCTCCAGATGCTCTCATTCATCGAGAGATCTTTTCATCTTCATCTTATGTGTGGCCTCGTTGTCTGTCCTCTTCAACTTCCAAATAAGTTATTATGGTTCAAAGACCTTCGTTGACCAACGACAACCACTTGACGAGGTGCTTCGAGGTCAGCTCGTACGTGAACAAAGCGGTAGATACGATGTTAAAATATTTGGACGTTCCTTAAATCAACATGAAGCTGACTTGTTGAAAAGCAGGTCAGCTGAAAGAATTGAATTACTTACGAAACTGAATGAGGTAATACTTTTTGTTGACATTTTATTATTCGGTCCACATCTGCTTTTGTTATGCTTAACAATGTAAGCTTTCATGTACATTTTAGTGTATACACGCTACTGATACATTTCAAATATTACTATTGATTTGATTCAACAGAAAGGGTGATAAAAGGATATATAGTTACTGTATATATATCTTTTAATTCGCTGTCCAATGAATAGAGCATTCTATTATTTACGCTAAAAATTTTCTTCATCTATTTTTATTCTTCGTGTATATGAAAAGCTATCTTAACTTCGTTTCCGATAAGTAATTTAACTTTATGTGAGGCTGATATCGGCTACCTATAACGGCGAATGAAAAATACATGTTTAAATAAATAATGAATAACATTTAAATTTGCCCTTTTTAAAACAACGGATAAATATTTTTTATATGCACGAAGTTTTACAGTATGAACTCTTACTCGAAGCTTTGACTCATACCCTTTTTCGAAAATGTAAAATGATTTTTTCCCCAAGATAACCAAAGATAACCAGTGTTTTATTTTGTCTATTTGTTGTAATAGGTTAACCTGTCAGGATGTCACCTATAGAGTGACTTATCCTTTTAATCCCTCATTCATCATCCTCTTAAAGTCATGGTCAACAAAACAAATGATCTGACACACAGGGTGGTGTCATGTGGCCATACTTGTTCAGTTCTGTAACCGGAGATAAATGTTTCAGACTTGAATAGTAAAAAGGTAGAAAGAATGACATTACTAATATGACAGTCGGTATCGGTGATATTGAACTAGGTGCTTGGCATGTCACACCATAGGAAGTCGTGCATTGTCTATTAAAATTTTAAAACTTGTAGAAGAAACAAGAGAGCAAATATTTACATTTATTTCAAATGTCACATATTTCAATATTTTACTTCAACTAAATGCTTAACGCTGAGATTTTAATATGATACTTTAGATTCCGTTTTCTTTCTTTCTTTTTTATTGTCAAATTAAATGAACTTAAATTACCAGGGGTAATTGTCGTCCTGTGTTGAAGGCTCCATTCAATCGAGGGGTCTCAGGTTCAAGCCCTTCTAGAGTCATGACAATGTTTATTCACATGCAATCGGTACAGGATATGTCGAACACAAATTACTCTTTTTCAGTATATTTTCTAGTATATCTATTATATATGCAGTCTTCAAATATTCATACCCTTTTTGTTAAATCGCTTGGACCATGTTATTAGTGCATGTTTTATAACTCTATATAAAGCTAAATATGATGAACATTTTTGTAAAGTTCTTAGAATATACATTGCATTTTGTGTCTTAAAGCTGCATGCCTCCAGATGAGCCAACATATTTCAAGAAATTTAAACTCTAGACAAATTTACTAAGATTTTAAGAAAAGTAATAAGATTCTTCAAGTAACACTTACATATAATATGCGATTATTGACTGATTTTGCAGTATTAATCACCATATTTCTGCTGCGTGACTTAAACAGAAAGGACTCTTTTTGCATATTTTAAATATAAATAAATATTTCTGAAACGCAGCCCTGCTGTTTAAAATATCAATTCTGGATAATGATTTATATCAACAGCTAGAGAAAAGATTACTGAAGGTCAATCATCATGTTGTAGCTGTGAAAGATGATGGGGCTGAAACTTCTGGTAACGGCCTGATAAGTGGACTCGGGCAACTTGATATAAAGAAAATTGAGAAAAATGGTACGAAACTGTAACTGAAATTCACCAATTCTTCAATGGCAATTGATATAATTCCGTATATGTTAGATATTTTTCTTATCTAAGTATTTGTATTTGTAGCAATAGTTTGATGCCTCACTCTACGTGACCTTTAATTCAGATTGATTAACATTGATAAACATTTTAAAATACTATATATATTTATGTACATGCAAATTGTAAATAAACTACCCAATATTTCTAAGAGATATTTGCTCTTATAATTGTAGACATTTTGTTATTGACAAATTTGTGTACTTTGTATATTACCATTTTAACCTATTCATTGAATATAAGCCGGTGATGTTAAAATTCCTAATACATAACTTTCCATTTTTGACGTCATATATTTTACAAATAGATTAGGTTGGGTTTTTCTCGTCTTTTTGTTATACTATCGTTCTTTTTTTTCCAGACAAAGCCCTCTCATGGATCGATAATGACACTGTTGTACAAGGCAATTGGTCGGTCCTATTTTGTTTCGACAGAAAGTGCCCAACGATTCAAACTGATATTTCACAAAAGGTATTTTTTGTGATTTTTTCTACCTTTATCAGCTAAATGAAAAATAGCACTGCTAAACATGTAAAAACTTTTAGTTCAATTTTGTGAGGAGTATGGCTCTTAAGTTTGAAAATCGTGAAACTCTAAAAGTCCATTTAACCTCTTATGAGTACAACTTGCCCATTAATAGCTTCAAGATTGACGTATGTCTGTTCAATGCAATTCCTTTTTGCGCATTTGGATTTATTTGCTAATTTACGTATATTGAAAGTACTGTTTGCAATGTGTTAATAACCCGCTTTGTTCACTTGATATATTTTACCTTTTAATAAATTTTCAAAAATTCCATGAAAATTAGCATGAATCATGATTCATGAGGTATGCTGCTTTGATATTAAATTTGAATTCATCGAAGCATCTTGTCAAAGATACAAAACACAAACACCTTTACTTTGCTGGAGCCATACAATCACTGTTGACTGATCAACATCCAATCTGTTTCCGTTTTGCCCCAACTGACATAAAAATACACGTATTTAAATATTGTATTTGAGCAAGAAAATCAGCAGGCAAAGAGTTAGATGTTCTCAATATTTCAAAAATCTTAACTTACCAATCAGAAATGTCGTTACATGTACTTTACTCACTAGTATTTGACATGTTTTGTGGACTTAATTTTCATGTATCTTTTTTTTTTATAAATAGATTGACAGAATACCGGCTCTTATGGCTGTTATACAGTCTCCAAAGATAATGTGTTCAATAAACAAGAAAATTGAAAAAGATAATGGTATGTATGGTATTGAACTCTGATTTTTATAACATCCAGTCCGTTTTTTTGCTCGTTGGAACTGTCCTGTTTGGTGTCCTGCTGGGCTTTTTGCCAGTGCAGTGGTCCTGTGTTGGAGATGCGTTCATCGGATGCCGCCCTTCCTAGTTGATCTTGTTGATAATATTTTAGTTAAATGTTTTGTCTATTTATGAGGTTTCAAAATCCTTTGATCTGCTATTGCTTCAATCATACATTTGCCTGTATTTTCAGAATATTTTATGTTTCCGTTGCTTTACTGAATATTATTAATATTTAAAAAAAGATATAAGTGTAAAACAACAACTGTTCACTAACTTTTTATGGCAATTGAACTGAGGTAGTGTGTAAAGAACAAAAAAGTCAAATTTTAATACACTGTAGTAACTCATTAAATTAATATATAATACAAGTAATTTGTTGTTAACACACGAGTAAGTAAGGTTGAATATCTTTTTAAAAATCATTTGAATTGATCCTTTACAATTAGTAAAATCTCACGAATAAATCATATTAAAAAAATAAATAAAAAATAAGACTATATTAATAAAGAATTGCAAGCATCACGGTATATGTAGTCTATTTGATTCTTTATTATATTCCAGGTCAATGTGAACCATTCAAATGTAGCAGTCAACTAAATGAAAGCACTGTTGTTATTACTGGAAACACAATACATTTTAATAAATCAAGCAAAGTTCTCTGCCAAAGGTAACACTCACATTTTGTTTATTTCATACGCATACAGTGTGATTTATTGTGATTTGGTACGGTATTTTGCATGAGAGTCTTATCTAGGTGATGCATTGAAGTAATCTTTGGTTTCTGTTTATCTTAACAGATTATTTTCCAAATCAAAACAAATGTCATGAATTTCATGAGAAATGTGTTTTTGGCTTATATCACTATCATTTTTTTCTAAATACATAAATACATTTTCTTCCATGCAAGAAAAACAAAACAAAAATCTGTTGTTTTTTTTTTTTTGTTTTTTTTTTTAAACTTATGATTTTTTTCTTGCCTTTATGATATATTTTTCGTTAAAGACACGTCGGCTCTCTCAGTGTTACCCTTTTTTGTTGTTTCTTTTAAACTTATGGTTTATTTGTCTTGCCTTTATCATATATTTTTCGTTCAAGACAAGTCGGCACCCTCAGTGCTCCCGAATCGTATATTTGGTATCTACCAGGAAGAACTATGTTGTTTCCACACGGACAAGTACTAAGACTACATAGTATTATAACTTCAGTCTCCCCACTGAGGTTTTTCGTTCATCCTGAAATGTTAACTGGTTCATTACAAGCATTGGAGCATCCATCGTTATTTAAAAAGGTAGATCTTTTTGTTTTACTTAACAAATATAACTCTTTTTTATGTTTTTTTTTTTTCGAAAAGAAAGTAATCCTTTACGAGAAAATGTAAATTTCAAAATGGAATTCACCAGTAAGTTAACCAGACTTCACCGAATTTAGACATCTGACAAAGGTTTTTTGTAAAATGCATTACAGTAGAATCTTTTTGCACACAAAATTGAATCGGCAACGGAATCAGACGGATGGTGTGGAAGTAGCGGCTGAATGTCTTATGAACTCAGTGTGCAAACGAAAGTATAATAAAAAGATGTTCAATTTCACACTTTCAATTTCACATTTTTTAAAACCAGTGTCAGCGAAACTTATATGTTTTTTTTTTTCTTATTTTAAAGAATTCATACCTTACGAATTATTACAGCTGTCTATAGAAGACTTGCTACAGTATATTTCCGAGGTTTATGGTCTTGGTGTATCATCAAGATGGTGGACGGAGGTGCAGAGGAAATTACTTCTTTACCTCATACATCTAGAAGATGAGATTTTGAAATATAACAACGTATATAAAACGTACGTCAGTTAATTATTTATATTCAAAGTGACAATGATTAAACATAAAGTTGTAATAACCTTAACATGGTTTTTAGCTTAAAACGCGGCGCTGCGAACTTTCGAGTGGCGTCTTGAAAATTGGAAAATTTTTGCATGCCAGTTTTCAAAACGCTTTACGGAAGTTCGCAAAGTGTAGCGTTCTACAAAAAGAGTAAAGGTGCAAATATTAAGCCAAAACACTGGTAAAACTGATTAAGATATATACAAAAATAATTATGCCATTTGGTGATGAAGAATCCAAGTGATATATCAAGGACGTCTCTTTTAAAAATCTTTTCCAAAGATATGTTACTTTATCAATAGGCATAAAAGAGAAATCCTGGGTAGTATATATGTCCTTGGGTATTGAAATGTTAAGAAACATTTGTAGTTGTTTCAGGTGTTATATCAAATTTATGACCATTCATAACGTTGAGAAAAATTGTTGACAAATTTGTCCAACATATTGTTTTGAACATGTTTTACATGTAATTAAGTATATTACATCAGATGAATAACATAACATATCATACTTTATATCATAAAAAGATGTGTTGCTAGTGCTTAAATGTAGCCAAACCATGAAAATGAACTTGAACCTGAATCTGAACCCTCGATGTATTTTGTCATGTTAAAAAACCGTATGAATCTATGTTACAAAGTATAGTTTTCATCATTATGATATAATTGTTATTTCATTATGTAATACAATTATTAACAACTGTGTTTGCAGATGTAAGCGATGTTTCCAGTCTCTTAGTATCAGCATTGTTTGTCCGTCTGTACAGCATTGTCAGATTATCCAGGTAAAATACATGTATATAATAAACCTTAATGAAATGGACAGAGATAGAGAATTTTCTTTTTTTTAAAAACTTAAAGAGCTAGGAAAAAACAGTTTTGTTTGGAAAATGAATACATTGTTAAAAGTAAAAAAAGACAAATTGATTCTAAGAAAATGATAGGACGGCTTGAAAAGAAAGGTGGTGGAACAACTATAAAGAATGTGTCGGCATGGCTCTGTGGTTAACGCGTCTTACTATTAACCTTATGATCGCTGGCAGCATGGGTTGGGCAAATCGTTGTTTCCTTGAGCAAAAAACTATTCACTCATTGCTCAGTATGTAACGGATTCGAAAGTGTGTCTTAAATAAGACTAAAGCTTCCTACACAATCGAGCTAAAATAAATTCTGTATAAAATTTTAACCCAAAGAAACAATTTCGTTTGAAAAAAGGATATTACTAGAGAAGAAACTGATTTTTACTCTGCCATTTATCATAAAGAAAAGATATTATTACCTTTATCTTGCTATATCTTTGAAATGGATGTGGGAATGCCCTTCTATTACAGGAATTATCAGGTCAAATTACTTTACAATCAAGCTGATAATAATTTGGCACTCTGGTCATATACATTATGTAGCAATCTGAACATCTCAGCTATTATCAATAATAACTTTTCATCCGAAGTTTGACGGAAAGGGCCGAGAAGATGCGATTGCATTATTTAGTAGAAATGAACATGCTAGATTGGCTTAATACTTATGGCATATATACAATGTATTTTGTGGTTATTTCATGTAGCATTCGAATGTCTTAACTGTCTTCTTTATATAACAGATCGTAAATGATCAAAACATGAATCCAGGGATTATGGCAAGCACGTTTAAGTTGGTAACTTCGCAAATTCAGGTTTCTGAAGAAATTGAGCGTACTTTGAAACAATCATCTATAGAGGTAAGGCACGACAATTTATTACCTTAATCTTGAAGTTTATCTGCCAAGTCGTCCATATGACTTATTCGTGTTTCTGTCACTAGAAACAAAGAAAAAAATAATTTCTAAGGATTTTAATGTCGATGAAATAGTGATGCAGCAGTTTTATTACAAATTTAAATTTAACTTGGCTATATTCACAGCATTGAATGTAATATGATCAGCTTAAAAATGACACAGAACACATGTATTGTTTATTTTGGAATTTCTATCCAGGTTTGTGAAAGCACATCATTTGATGAACAAGAACAAGATAGCCAGCTAGATTGTGTGTCTGAAGATTATTTGATGTATCTTTTAGATTCGAGGAGAGAGATAAAAAGTGCTTCTGAGTTTATTCCGGTAAGTAGATTTCCTTTCGAAGATTTGATTTATTTACCATGTTCAGATGAAAAGTATTATTTAAAACCTTATGTTGTATTTTTAGTGATTATGTTGAAAGGAGGAGGGTAACACTTTCGGTGTTACCAGAACAGCCAAATTCCCGGGTAGATAATATATTAGTGTAGGGCTTCATTGTGTGTGTGCTCTCGACACCGGTTGCCCATATGTTCGAGTTGTCCAGAAGAGTATTAGTCATTTGATAGTTTGGAGTATGTTCAGGAAGATGTCCCAATTCCAGAAGCTTCTCCTGGTTCTTTAGCGTGCCAAGTGATTATGCACAGGACCTCGATTTATACACAAATCTCAGGAAATTATTTCTACTCCCGACATGTCAATAAACAGAAATGGATTCCTTTAAATAAATCTTCATAAAAATAGCATGAATGTCGAGGTGTTCGGCTATAAAGATCTTCTCTCATGATATAATTCATTCTTTTCAGATATATCCATCTGTACTTGGATGCAAGGAATTAAGCAGAGGAGATCCATTGACAGTTGTAAAAAGTGACACGGTGAATTTGAATGCTATTACAAGAACTCTAGGGGAGATATTTTTGTGGGCTGATAAGCCATCCACTGAATCTCAGTATTTATTGGACGAGTATGTATATTGTATTTATTTCTAAAGTTAACATACAAACAAAAATGAATACCACAATAAGTGTCACTTCTGCAATGAATTTAGAACTAATAAGGTCGTTCGACACAGCAAAAATTTAAAATGTTACAGTTTTTTGTTGATTAAGCTTGCTTATAGTAAGAAATGTTGTCTTTCTTCCTATAGTTCGTGCTACAGATCTAGTTCGTGTCGTCCAGCACCGTATTTGTAAAGTGTATATTTCATTCTTTGATAATAGTGTAATCAAAAGTTTACACACTTCACTACAAAAAAAATTGCTGGAAGAGGGATTTAGTAATGTTATAAATAGAGTGTCATATGTCCTTTTTTATGGTTGGATTTTATTGATTACTTTGTAAATTTGCATATAGCCTTTATATGTTTGTACACGTGTATAACAGAATCATTGTCGGGTACATCTTTCCATATTAACATCATAATACTTATTTGTCTGGGTCGTTCATGGCTGAGTGTTAAATGTGGTTGACTTCAAACCACCCGCCTAACAACGCTGTAGGCTTGAATCCCGCCAGAGACAATGGGTTATTTTATGTGAGGAAGCCAGCTAGCTAACGGAACTTCGTTTGTGCTACTCAGGTGCCTGCTTTACCTGAAAAAATGCACGGAGGTACCCCTGAGGATTTCCTTCACCAGTAAAGCTGGACAGTCGCCATATGTCCTTTTCTGTGTTGATGCGACGTCAAACTTACCTATTTTCTCAATCATTTTATTTACCATTTTAGGGTCAACGACGATTATATTGACATGAGATTAACTAAACATGGAAGAAATATCGGCGGTAAGTTAAAGACGGGAACATTTACTATCATGGTACTTTGTGTCGCCTTGGCAATAGTAAGAACTTATAAGCTTATCCTCGTACTTCGTGCTAAATTGGAGACTTGTTGAAAGCAGATGTATGGTAACCTCCCTAGACATTAAAATATGAGATCACTGTCTAGTTAATGTATTTATTCAAAATTGTCTTAAAAGAATAACTTTGATATAACGAAGGTGACATGTAATGTGTGTAGCTAAGGGACAAAAATCTTCAGTGCATAAAACAGTAAACTTCTGTGACAAGGTTTGTGGAGTTGCCTCCCTTTGAAGTAAAAACATTTATAATGAAAGTTATATTTACGCATTAAATACAAGGAATATTAAGTATTTATTAAATATAAAATTAAACATGAATGTCATTAATTTTTGAATCTTAAGAACATGATATTTTATTAGAAACATGTACACGAATTTACCATGCTAATGTTATTATTAATGTACGCGGCCATTTACCTCGTTATAAACGTACGTGTTTGAAATATTTTAAACATTATTTGTATATAAATTGTAATATACTGCATAACGGTTTAAACAATAGTAAGTATACTCCGTATAATATATATATCAAAATATTATTATGAATATGATTTGCTCTTTTTTCAGATCTGGCAGTGCCTTGTAGTAATGGTAAGTTAAACTTAAGTTCCGTCTATTTTATACTCTAAGTTTGATATTCATGTAAAAAATATAGATAGGGAATTGACATATGTGTAAATTTAACATTCATTTGAAATACTAAAATTGCAATATACATTGCTTGTCATTTTAAGGTATTGCATTTTTAGAACCACCATTTTTCTTCTGTTTTTGTTTTCTGAGCAAAAGAGTGCACCAATAATGTTAACAAAGTATTATGCCCAACACTTTCATATATTATATAGAAAAGTTAATGCAAATAAACTTAACCTATATTTCATAAAATATTATTGAACTTAGAAGTGATGCGTTTTAAGTCACAAATTACTTAACCTAAAACTACATTTTTTTCTGAAATACCTGCAGTTCAGAAGGTTTGATCCAAATGATTTTATGATATGATATGACAAAAACTGGTATCACAACAAAATTGACGTTTTTGTTTTCTCCAGATCCACAAGACTGTGGTAAAATTGACGAAATTGTTATTTACCCAAGTGCAGTTCTAGACGAAGTGTCAACCAGTTATTACAATGCTACTGTGGGCTACAATACAATCCTCGTGAGAATAATGGGAGTTTCTAAAAGTTGTAAATGCCAAGTGAGGCTTGAGAACAAATATAATGACCCTGGGTAAGAATTTTTTTACCATTTACGAATCAATATGTAAAGTAATATTTAAAAAAATCAAGTATCAATGGTATCGGATAACTCTTGATATACCTTTCCTAACCACTTGACTCCCATCGCCAGAATTGTGGGGCTATGAATAAGCTATCAAGAGTCCTCAGCGGTACTCGAAACCACAAATTTGTCAGAAATGTGTCACGTTGACGACTCGGTCACAGAAGCTACAAGTATTTTGTCATTTACTTTGGGATAAAATGCGAAATGCATAAATAAATTGAGTACAAAAAATCTATCCATGTGGAGTGATATTTGAAAAAGCATGTACCACTGTCTGTTCAGATAAATTTTCAAAAACGATTTTTCCTTTTATTTCAGTGCACGTAATATAACTTTAGGATTAGGGGATAATAAGATCATGTTATATGTAGTTGACACAACAGGAACAGATATGAATATTGTAAACACAGTAACAATTAACATAAGGAGACAGCACCGAGGAATAACCGAGCAACATTATAATGAAAAGATGATGAAAATGTGTGGTCTGAAACAGGTAAAATTACTAAATTGTCTTTATAAATATCGAAAAAAAAGAAATATATCTTGGAATAATGAAAGCATATATGAATCATATGAACACACAACAGTTTGTGCAATGAGATTATTGTAGTCCAAATGAGCTTTGAAAGTCTGTGTCAGCCGCATTTTGTTCCATTTTGTTTCTATAAATTGTGATATTTTTTTATTACCGGTGTACTGATATGTGCATTTTACCTTCTTTTCAGGACTGTTCTCTAAAATTTAACAATGAGGAAAAATGTGGTCTCATTGATTTGAAAAGCCCTTGGCTAAGCAATAACCGGAAAAGTTTGAGTCAAAGGAGGTGTTCATCTGGCGATCATGAAGGTTTGTTAATTCTCATTTCCTCAAGAATATTTTATAAATTTCCAATAAAATTTTTGATATTTATAAATAAGCAATTATTACTTAATATGTACTAATCATCTTAATGTATATTAACCTCTTAGTAAATTCTTTCATTGTATTCTTTCATGCAAATTTGTTTTTGTGTTTCTGCGTTCGTTTGTTTTCTTTATTAAATTCCTGTCCTTTTTATGTTCGTTTGTTTTGTTCATCCAATTCATGTCCTTATTACACGGAAAGCAAGTACAATATTTCCAGTACATTTACATGTACCAAACGCTGAAGCATATCTTTTTTATCCGATTGTATAATACATCAACTTTTTTTCCCGATACAGCACAATGGGTTGTTCCTTGTAGAAGTTGCTCCAATGACAAAGAATGTTTCTGGGAGAACGCTAGATGGGAACCACGTGACTGTCAATATGAACAGTTGTCAGCGTCTCGCCTTAAACAGTGCCTTGCAGGAAAGAAACTTCTGTTCATCGGGGACTCTACAAACAGAGGGGTCTCGAATTATATTATAGAGCAAATTAATGGGTCCTTGTATGACTGGGATAAAACACACAGTACAAGGGTTTATTCAAATATAAACCACGACAGAACACAGTTTACGTTTGCATACTATCCACATTTTTGGCTGCCGGCCGACCATCGACCCAGGTTCAGCAAAGTTATTTATCAACTTATTAAAAGGTAAATGTTAGCTAGAATATAAAGCAAACAAAATAAAAACCAAATAAATAAATAAATTTAAAAAATAGATAAATAAAAAAACAACAAGATATAGAATTAAATACATGTAAACATGAAAGTTTGAAAATAAGAACTGCTTATAAGTGATATGTGGTAATTATATACATGTTTAACAGTGTTGGATTTTTTAAAGTGTGGTTGTTATGTGATAATGATTTTATGAAATCGACCTTTAACACCAACCTTCACAAATCAAAGATACCGTTGATAATAAAATTTATACCTATTCACCGATTCTTTAATCAAAATCAATGCATTTCATTTTACTATACTTTCAGCTCTTTACCACTGGAAAACAACTCGAACACAGTTCTTGTGGTGGGCGGTGTCCAGTGGCTTGCGAAACAGCATATTGATCTTATTGTAGAAGCTTTACAACGGTAAGCACATATGATGCACATGTGCTATTTCGATTAATGTCTTCTTTTTGTTGTTGATTCTTCATGTTCTTCACTTATTTTGTGAACATTTTTCAACGAGTAAAGCCAGCAAGAAGATCGTACAAAAGATATTGTGCGGAAATTGCCTGGTTTTATGGTGATATAAATAGTTTATGAAAGTCCAACTTTATCATTGGTAAATTATGCCTTATATTTTATGTTGTTAATGTTTTGTTTTTGAATAAGGACAAAAAGAAGAGAAAATAATGAAAATTAAAACACCATCTACACTATTATAATAATAATAAAGTCAGAGGTGATACGTATAATATTTGGATAGGAGCAGTGTCCAATTGCAAGTGGTTAGGGTGTCTGACTCATAGCCCAAGGATCGTGGGCTGGAGCCGTAGCTCCTTGGACCACGACCATGTTCTTATTATAACCAGAGATGAACATGTTATCTATGTCTCAGTTATAACATCTGTGCTAATGTATGCCATGAAGTGGGTTCGAGTGGGCTTTGAATATATCACAGCCTTTCTTAATCATCTTAATAACAAGCTGAGATAAAACTAATACTTGAAAATATTAATTTTGTAGGTTTGGAAGCTTCACATAACCTAAATGACGTATAAAAAGCCTTAATTTTAAAGTGACTCTGTACAAAATTTCAGATCATTCGCCCTCTTCGTTTCCCCAGAATAATTATTCTAATTGTGAAAAATGACTCAAAGTTTTCACCCAAATCGGGTTTAGAATTGCACACACATATAATTTTCAAGTTATTTCTTGGTAAACTTCTCAATTATCTTTTGAAGTTATTTCTGTGCCCCAGCAGATCTATGTAAAAAAATCAAATTTTATTATTTTAGTCTTTTGGACCTCAGTGGAGTTCCATTAATAATGATATTCAAATATTTCCAATGAGCATATACGTGTAATGAGTAGAAATGTAAGATTAATTCACAAACTTTATATACATAATTCTTCAGGAAGGGTTTATCTGGCATCACAAAAGCTGTGAAAGGTCTGGGAGCTGGCTTCCACCAACCTGTAGAAAATGTCCGATACGTTCCAAAGTCGGAACATGTTCAACTTCAACAAAGAGAGACTGACGTTTTAAACTATGCAAAGAGCAAAGGTTTTCATGCTGTATCAACATTTAATATGACTATTTCACGATATAAAGATTTCCTGGAAGGAAATTGTGCATGTCATTTTCACAAGGTATGTTTTTTGATGGATTGTTTGATTTAAATGCACCAGTATTAGCTAGATAATTATGATTTTTGTGTCTTTTCTGACATTAGTATGTTTAATAACATTAGTAACTCTTTAGTAAGAACAATATTCATATTTTCATTTACATCTTAAAGTACATGAAATAAAGTTAAAAGCTTTGTTCGTATCTCTTCTTAAATATAAGCATTGCTTTATTTTCCATTATTTTAATCCACTTGTGCATTTCTTTATGACAAGTGATTTATTCATGTATTAAGAATTTCGTTTTAATGTTCGTCTTCTTCGCCTTAAAATGTTGTGTCTTCAATATATTTGTTTGTTTCTACACTTAATTTATGTATATTTTAACTCACTGCTTGAACCGCAAGTGATTATCCTTTGTAACCAGGATAGAGCCGGGGCCAATGTTCACGTCCAAGCTCGGTACTATTGGTAGCTAAATCGTTGTACTTTGATATTGAAATACCTTTAATTTTAAATGGACTATTCTGCATCCACTGCACAATGTCAGCCAAATAATATTTAGGAACCAAAAGTCGCTACAAATTCCATCATATTATTTTCGTTCTTTCTATTTTTAGGTGAATAAGCATGGTTCAATGCGAGAAGGGTTCCATTACACGGTCGAAGGGAATTTAAATGCTGTTTATTCACAGATATTGTTGAATCAAATTTGCCACGTGCCTTAGATGTAGAATAGGTCAACGCCATTATTTCCCAAATAAATATCAAAGTATTGTTCCTACTTCAGCATTATTTAAAATGTTTTTTATGCATTGTTAACTTTAATCATTAAGTTCAATTTCATGTTTTCCTTGTACATTGTGGGGACGCGATTCTCTACATCAAATGTGATAATTTTTTTTGCTACATGTTTGAGACAAACTTTTTGTATTTATAGTTTTATTGTTATTATTGCAAAGCAAGTTTGTTTGAATGTTGTTTTTCTTTTTGTCCAAGACTTCACATAACACATATGTATATTTTGAAGCTAAAATGATGCTTTGTTTACTACAATTGTTCTAATGGTTGGGACACTAGATTGGTTTAATTTGATACCATAAGTTATCATGCTTTAGATATGATTTTCATGTGCTCCTACAAATATAAATACACTTCAAGTCATGAAAGGAACAAGTTTATTATCAATTTTGCGTTTTCTGCAATCGATCCAAAACCTTTAATTTGTTAATCTGCTTAAGCTATCAAACCTTTAACTCAGCCTATAATGAATATATCATCATTTCAGTACAAGCAACGCAAAGTCCATCGTCGGTTACCCACGGTATACTGTATTCCGTACATACAACATATTAATTTATACCAAATACGAAATATATACCGTGGGTAACCAACCTAGCACTACACTGCTCGTTTCTTTATTTTTTTCTTTCTTAAAAAAGATAAATATATAGGATATAAACGGATACAAAAAGGCGCCGTTGAAATATAAGCTTTACTACTGATTACATACATGTACAGTTAAACCTGTGTTAAAGACGACATCCTTATAAAGATCACTTTCGGACAAACGTTTATTGATTACATAGATCAGAACAATCTCTAAATACAGACCACTTGTCTATAACAGCAATGTTTTGGTTCTTCATTGCGATGGCCTTTGTTCACTGGTTTGACTGTACATGTTTACCACTGACACGTTCTACTACCGAATCGAATCCTTTAATCCAACCGTTTACAGTTTAACTGCAGATAATATTTTTACCATTTCTATATATCCTACCACTGACATAGTTTACAACTTATAATAAACACATTTTATTCCATTCTAAATATCGCATTTTTACGTTATTAAATGTTGAATTAGAATACAATCGATCAACTCAAAATTGATTTGTAATCAGTCTTATGTACAATCTTTTATATATTAAATTTAGACCTGGCTGTAACATTAAGAAGAAATTTAGTTTACTAGGTTTCAAACAAATCAAATTCTAAACTTGACAAGGAAAAAATTCAAGGAAAAGTTAATAGTTTCCCTGGTAAATAAAGTATATAGAAAAAACATACATTAAGTTGCATACAAGTTCACTTCGATCTACATGCAAATTTGGAATGGTCTTATAGTGTATTTACAAGCATATTTCTGCTGAAATTATAATTAACTTTCTGAGTATGACAATCAGTGACTTTGAAGTAAAGCAATAGAATATTTCATCTTTAGAGAAATATGAGCCGCGCCATGACAAAACAAACATAGTGCGTTTGCGACCAGGATGAATCCAGACCAGCCTGCGCATCCGCGCAGTCTGATCAAGATCCATGCTGTTCGCTATCAGTATCTCTGCTTGTAATAGGGTTTTGTAAGCGAACATCATGGATCCTGATCAGACTGCGCAGATGCGCAGCCTGGTCTGGATCCATGCTGGTCACAAACGCACTATGTTGGTTTGTGATGGCGCGACTCATATGTCTTTTCATTTTGAAATTCTTTGAATCTGTTCGGATTTAAAGGCAGTACATGTATAACGAGATGAATATGTAATTATATTTTTATAACTATTTATTGTTGTTAAGTTTGTTATATTGTTGAAATAAAGAGTTTGAAAAAGACAGATTCGACTTTTGTTCTTCCCTGTACGAATAATTCATTTTTGTGTCGCCTCTACAGAGTAGTGATCACTTCTCCGTCGTCTGTTAGTCCGTCTTTCTGTCTGTCTGTACGTCCGTCCGTCACAAAACATGTCCGGACTACCTCTCAAAAACTACTGGTGCAATTTCATCAAAACTTCACAAAATGATCAATACAAAATTTAGTTGTTCATATCGTCAGCATTATCACCGGTTCAATGATTTTTGTCAGAGTTATAACCCTTTAACAATTTTTATTTTTAAAATTTGTCCGGACAACACCTTTTATACCACTAATGCATTTTCAAAGAAAACTTTACAGCATTGATCTGTAGCTCAAGTACTTGCGCATGGTTTATCCGAATGATTTGTGGCTGAGTTATGATCCTTGAATAAAGAATCGAATTTTGCCCTGTTAATGTTTTTTGTGTCTCCTGATTTACAGTAGCTGCAACATGCATTTGGCTGAGGCGACACATGTTATCACTGATCGTTCTTGTTTAATTTACGACCATCTCTTTAGAAAAGATTGTTTTTTCTGAGATCTGAATTCTGAGTTGTTGTCTGATTTTTTTAGCTCAACTGAGTACAGCATGCTCAAGGTGAGCTATTTTGATACCCCATGTGACCGGCCACCGTCGTTAACATTTTTATTAAAAGAATATCTTCTCATCAACCCCTGCACAAATAGTGATGTAACTATACAAGAATAATCGATTCCTGTCAGCTAAACAAGATGGCTTCCAAAGCAAAAAACAGAAAAACTTCGGAACGATTTCTCCTCCTTAACTATATGAAAACTAGGGCCGATAAACTATGTAATAGCAATTCTGGTGTCATGATAATTTAAGAATGATATTGGTAAACGGGCGAAAAAACTGTTTAAATGTCTTGTGTGCGCTGTTACGGACACATCACTTTCTTGAGCGATTCAGTCACAAATAATGATGTTTACACCATAATCTAAAACGAACAAAGGCAGTTTCCTTTTTGGTATAATTCTCTGTTAGGAAAAGAAACAAGCGATCAAGTAGAGCTAGTCATCATCCTTCAAACTGACCCGGGGTCTTGAAATTTACGATTTTTTTACGTAAAATGTACAGACGCGCTAAAAATTAGCGTTACACTATAGGCGCATCAATCAAAACTGTTTTTCACTTTAAACAGTTATATTTTGGGTATGTGATAATAAAAGAATATCATATTCAGGTAGGTTCATTACTGAATTTATTAAAGCTGTTGAAAAATGATACAATTACATTCAACAAGTTCAATAAATTCAGTATTTAACATAGACTCTATTTATCAAATACACGTTAGATCAGCTGTTGACGTTTGACGTTTTTCGAAGACGCAAGGGAAAATGACATCCTAGTAAGTTATTTTCTGTTCGCATTTGTAGTTCAAGTGAATCCATTATAAGAAATTTACCCGAACAATTAAAGTACTAAATAATAGACCTGAATAAGCCCATGTCGGCAACGAAAAACGTAGGTGACTGAATACACATCATGTGAAAGAAGTTCACAGCTCTATATACACTCGCGAAAACATGCAACACAAAATTGTCCTCTGCTATGAATATGCCATTCATTGGAGGTTCTTGTCATATTTCAACGGCTTTTAAAACAAAATTTAATGTTAAAATGTTGGCAGGGTCGATTCTTAAACGTTAAAAAATGGGGTCAAAACTTTCAACCTTGGTTTCCTTTAGCATTGTTCACTATTGGCACCATTACCCATACGGTTTGGGATATTACTTCCCTTTGTTTTATGTACGCCATTTTATACATGTTTAATTAAATGAAAGGTTGCAATATTTCAAGTATCAGATATTTAATGTTTGTTTATGTGCCTGGTTATCATTGACCCATTTTGAATTGTTTACAAATACCAAGTACGTTACATTAAGCGTAACCTAAAAGGATCGAGAACTTATCTATCTGTTCTGGGAGGTTTTCAAGCTCGGCTTTTATAAAAGGTACGTTAGCTTTTTATGAATAATGTTACAATCTGTTTTACTATTAATGTAGATTAATTGGTGTATTTGTTCTTGTGTTAATGTGCAACTGTGAATTCGAGCACAGTGTTAGGTGAATTGAAATGAAAGAACCCAAATATCTAATAGATATATACAGTCTGTAGAAAATCTCGGTTGCATATCTATATTATAAAAAAATATGTATATATAATAATTATTAAAGTACACCGAGTACCATCGTCGGATACCCACGATTGATAAACATGTCACATAACTGTTAATGGTTCGGCCGTGGGTATCCGACGATGACCGAGTACAGCATGAATTATATTCATGCATATAGATCAACTATATTTAGTTCGTTATTTGTCAATAAGTAAATGTTATGTTTCTTGACATGCTCATAATTTTAATTTCTAACTTCAGTACACTTTAAATTCAACAAATGAAATGATATATTTCAAGAATATGTTTAGGGTATAAAACTGACTATTAAAAAGTATAGATCATTTCACTAGAATTCATGCCAAGTTAGTATAGCAGTGATGTCGCAATAAATTGCCAAACGTATTTAAATGTTGCAGATCCTCGATTCACAATTTATTCGCTTAAAAATGCTTCATTTATCAGATTCGATGACCATGTAAAATGTTTGGACGATTTCTACCCTTTCGGTTCATCTGTACGTTTTTATGCAAACTGAACAAACTGCCTTATTTGAACACCTACGTTCTCCTCTATCAATAAAGTGAAACATTTTATGCATTTTATGGCATTTTACTTACGACCCGTTTTACTGTATACATCACAAAACAAACATTTCACTCTAACTTTATAAATTGTGTACAATTTAAGGATTATTTATAGATTATAAGATTGATAATACTAGTATTCACAATTTCATTAACATTTCAGGTGTAACACTCGTTTTCATCGTCATTTCTCTTTAAAACGAGGACTATTTAAGAATGTCTAGTCTGGAAATTGGGTCGACATTAGATCAAAATTCTACTGCAAAGTTTTTCATTGAATACAAAGGGTTTTTCAGCAATCATCTTGCACATGGTATTATAGCTCTTCATAGGCTTGGAGTCCCTAACGAGCGAATCGAAAGATTCATTAAATGGTATTCTCCGAAATTAGAGTCTACAGCATCTGACGCCGCCGACGACCGACCTTTCGAAGAGCTAAAAGGTCAGCGTTCTGCTTATTACACAATATTAAAGCATTACGAAAACTTGCTGAGAGAAAAATACAAAACGGTCGACGAACTTATTAAACACGAGTACCCGGACGTGTCAAAGGGTCTTTGTGGTTCGGCATTGCACGGAACTATCCATCTTGGGTATGGTTATTCCGTTCAAAATGAACGAATCATCTTGGAAGGCTTAGCGTATACGTACCACTCATATCGGCCAATTGTCATGACAAAGTCGGAAGAGGATTTTGCAGCGTTCGGCAAAGGCACTGTTGACATCACTGAAGCCCTTAAAAGTCTTCATGTGAAGAAATATCTCTCCATTAAGGTCGACGCAGCTATAAAAGAAGAAAGATGGAAGCCCTTAAAAGTGAGTAATTTTCAGCTACGAGTGTTCTACATGTTAACAGACCACGGCGATTTCCTCACTGACATGGTTCTCTCCCTTGCCTTTGGACCGGAAGTAAGAGCCGCGGACGGGTCTCTGGATCCAGTTAAATTTGGCAGGCGACTTGTATATCTGAGTATGACAGTTTATGCTCTGGCAGCAAACAGAAATGATTTCTCTCTTCTCCATGGTGTCACGTGTGCTTGGGGCCTTCATATGATTATACCATTGATGTCAAAAGAGAACGGGATAAAAACTGTAAGAGATTACTTGACCGTACTCCTTGCCGTATATGTTGCATCGGGGTCGCCGGAACTAACCGTTCCTCTTTCTGAAAATGAGTTCACTGATAAAGACTGGACTGAACATATTGCCAAAACTGTTGAAGTTGATAGAGACGAGCACTGTTACAAGCTCGTGCAGGTTTGTTACGAAATGGCGAAGGACGCTCGAGAACACGGCGAAGATCCAAAAGTTTACAGTCAAGCTGCAAAATCTGCCATAGATCATGAGTTGTATTTTTACACAGGATGATCAATAGACTTTCGTCAAATGTGCTAAGGAACATTTACACTTCAGTCGATGGAATAGCTATTGTGTTAATTATATTGTCACATTGTAACTTCCAAGTAATATACATGTAAGTCCATACTTTTATTATCTGAATGTATGACAACTGATTACAGTCGGCATCGTACTTGCGTCCACCTTTATTAAGCGACATTTTTATTAAGCGGCCACATAAAATCCCTCCCGATGATTTTTACTATATAAATTAATTCCATTAAACGACGATTTTATATCGCGGCCAGCGGCCACTAAATGTCGGCCCAAATGTACAAAATTCAGTGTTAAAGTATCTATTAAACGGCCGTGACAAACAATCGTCCCTACGGACATTCTCACCTGTGTAATTAGCGAGTAGGTTTGAACAAACAAATATTTTTCATGGTCATTGGTCTTAAAGTATCTATTAAACGGCCGTCAATTAGACCGTCACAAATAATTGTCGTTTAAAAACGAATTGAATAACAATTGCAATCGTTTTAAAATCGGAAAGAAAGAAACAGTTTTCCGATAGTAATATTTATTGTGACATATTTTGTCAGAGCAATAACGTATCACAACACCGCATTGGCACAGTTTTGTCATGTGCTCAGAGTGACCTCCCTTCAAAAAAAAAATCGTCGGAACGAGCGAAAAAATGACATACCCAATGATACCGGATAAATTGAATGAGGAAATCGTGCAGGGAATTGAGTCTGAGTAAATAGCAAATGCCATCGTTTGTAGTCGAAATAAAATCGTGAAACGTAGTGGACTAAACATTACAGAACCGAGCCTTTCATTGCTGATGGTGTAGGTGCTCATCTGATGCTTTATAAAAAAACATGTAGTACCCCATTAAATATGACACTTCGACAAAAAAAAATAATAAAATAAAATAAAAATAATGATAAAACTTTAATTTTTTGAAATCGGGGTAGTGTGAAAACTAATTGCTGAAAAAATCAAGAAGTTTAAAACTCATTGCGATGATTTGAAAGTATGTTCAGCAGGAGATGTGTATGAACATATTAATAATATATGACAATATGCTTTGTTTCAAGGTCAAAATGACCTGTTAATAGTATTATGAGCGTAGATCACATTTGTACATAAGTTCTACTTAAAAAAACCCAAACACATATTGATGACTTTTTTAAACGAAAGGCATAAATGTAATTATGAAACTGTAATACAAATAAATCATATTGTACAATTTTTGTTTTTATATTATATCTATGACTTGTAACATAAAAAAGTCTCGAATTTTCCAGAATTCTATTGAGAGACCACTTTATTAAGAGGCCACTTTTTGGCAGACCCTTGAGTGGTCTCTTAATACAATGTCGACTGTACTTAAATCGAGGACTTCATCAATTGATAAAATATTTTTTCTAGAAACAAAATAACACATTTATAATGAATCCGAAATGATAAGTCCACTTTTGCAGGGCTATATCACATGTAATACTGATGCCCTTATTACGAAATATACACAAAGACAAACATTTGTTCGAGTTTTTTTTTTTATAGACACATTTGATATAGGATTACTGGATTGCTTTGCCGGAGATCAAACTTGTTGATTTGCAAGTTCGGCTTTTTAAAGCACATGCTGCATACTTTGGTGATAAAACTTATAATTGCTTCCTTTCTTACGAGCCATGCAATAGTAAAATCCTTACTTTATGCTTGAGGACGCGGATCGATGACATGCTGCACACATTTTATCAGGATTTTCTTTTTGATTTTTAAAAAATGAGAGTATCTATATAGGCAGCTAATGAAAGATCGGCCTTATTATGATTCAACTGCATTTATGAGATATTCATTATTTCTTAATTACGACTGTAAATATGTAATGTTGCCATCTAAATTGTATAAACCTAGCAAAGTGAATACGAAATCTATCCTGCCTGTCAATTAATTAATAATTCTGAAATTATTAAGTGCAACAGCCTACATGTATGTTTAGCTCTAATATTTCATCATTTTTCATGAAATCAGTGTAGATAAAGAAACTTAATATCAGCTAAATGTATGGTCTGTTATGTATTTAATTTATCCAATTATGCAACACACAAAAAAACGAACTGTCGAACAACATGTTTGTGACAAGACGCCGAGGTAATGACCTGGAATCAAGATTCTTTTGATAGGCTACTGAAATCGCCTTCATCAGGCTAAGTGATAATCAAGTGGTTCATTCAATCCTTTACTTACTTGTGAGTGCTCATATTGCTTGGTGTCATTGCTTCTTTTATGTTTTTAACTCTTTAGTCCAGTGTATCGATCATATTATTTGCTTTTATATGGAAATAAACGTATGTAATAGACTTGTTTATATTAGTTTTTTCTTAGAATATTGTATAGGATATGACTCCATGTTTGTCAAAATGAATTGGTCTGTAATGGAAGGTCTGTAATACAATCATAACCAAATATGTTGCTAGTATTTTGTATTCAACAACTAACAACAGTTAAATTAGTGTAAATTAGTGGGCTTTCGTGATATTTTTAGGGGCACTGATTTATGTCGGTTTGAAACTTGTCAATACTTGTAGTTATATATTTTTATCAGGTAGCTTGCGTATGGGATGATGATCGTTCTACCCACTTGCTAGCATGCACTCTTTTAATAAAAATGATGGGGGGGGGCTTGAAAAGCAACAAACAATTAGACACTGTCTTTTATCGGGATAAAAAGTAGCTGGTTTGTTTAGAGTAAGACCTCACACTGCTCAAAAGCGGACAAATATTAGTTTACATGTTCAGCATTGCTTAAGAATTTGTTATGAACACCTTTGGTTATAGGAAGTAAACAAAAAAGAGTTGTGAATCGGGACTGCGTCGTATCCCTCATTTTGTAAACAAAAGTATGCCATAGTGGAAGGCAAAATCTATGTTTTAGTCCATTACTCTTCTCATTTCTTCGCTTCATATTAAGTCCATTTGTTTTGCTAATCCGCTTTGAAATATAACGCAGTTTACATTGTTTTATCCACTGTTTTACCCACTGGTCGTTTTACAAGACAAGACTCGTTTTATAATTTAATATGAATTTCAAAATATGCCTCAAAGTTCCATTGCAGACAAGTTGAGACAATTATACTTGTAAAGAAAACTTAATCAAATGATAAAGTAATTGTCAATCGGGAACATTTTCGGGTTGTCCATAGACATATACAAACACACACTAGATATTTCTTACAGTTCTGCACGGCTTGCAGAATAAATTTGCAGTCTAACGGTTCAATGTTAAAATTAAGCTTCCGAGAGAATAATCAGAGAGATACTGCAGTGTTCTATATAACTAAATTATTTACCTCGATCGCTTAGTCATTTAGTCATTGAATATAATTATACCTCACTTTGTTGCGTCGATCAGTTGGTCAGTCGGGACATCCGCCAGTGCGTCAGACGGTCCGTCCTCAATCGACATCAACGTCAGTCTCAATCGTGTCCGTTCTATAAATCGTATAGACCTAGAATGATTTTCTTCAAACTTGGCTCACATATTTACCTCAAAAAGACGATTGGCGGAACCCATGTCACCTCTGTACCAGCTCAAGGTCAGGTTCACCCGTGATTTGAAGGTCAAATATTAATTTCGTGTCCGCCCTGTAAAACTTATATATGTCGAAAGATTTTCGTCAAACTTTGCTTAAATGCTCGACTCAACAAGGCGATATGCAGAACCCATGCCGCCGCTGTTCCCACTCATGGTCTTTACTGAAGGTAAAACATTAAATATCAGACATGTATGTATGTATGTATGTATGTATGTATGTATGTATGTATGTATGTATGTATGTATGTATTCTATGTTTAATGAGGGTCCATCCGCCCGGTAAGGCACTTTCGTTGTTGAGTACGGACCCCGGAATCATGCCCTTAAAGAGTTAACTTTGAACCACAAATTGGTCATAATTTACACCCCACCCCCATGCAATTTCCACGTAGTATTAGCCAAATATATGAATTTTGAGCCAAAAGTAGGTCGCTGTACGGCAGTCAACGAAAATGTACAGAAACCTGAAACAATAATGAAAGGAAGTAGCCCTTAAAATGGCACCAAGCAAAGGGCCTGCGTTACAAGGCATCTATCTGTGCTAAGGGCTCACGTACCCTAGCACACCATCCTCGTCGTTTCTGCCTAAATCTTAGGGCCACTCCCCACGACATAAGTCGGGACACTGGCAGCTGGTCTGTAGTTTTGGACTTTGTTTATCTTTTTTTTTATTTATCACAATTTCTTCAAATCTTCTGCCGGTGTGCTGTGCCTTCTCGGCGACGTGCACGCTCCGAGGGGAAGTGAGAAGAAATATCAGACAATTGGACCGTATTCTCTCTATAAATACTATATCCTGTGATGGCCGGTAGGGTCCATTTTCCAGCAGCAAGAAATTTGACAGTCCGTTTAAAAATGTCGCAGGCAACTTTTAAATCTGCGATATTTGATATTGAAATTGTAAAAAATGTCGCAGCTTATATAAACTTGAGTTTTTATGTCGTAAAATGTGGTGTTTTACGAAGGAAATCGCGACTTCTTCTGTCTAAATAGTAGGCTAAGTCATGCAAACATATGCCTACTTTAGGTAGCCGATCGAGGCCATTATAATCCGCGATATTTTGTTTTGATGCATACCTCGTAAAAAGTCGAGTTTAAGCAATAAGTCTTGACTTTTTATCTCGGGAAATATCTCTGTGCAAAAAGTCGCGGCTGAAATTCCTATTACTCGCCGCAAAATCTTTTGAGAACGTTGTTGAGAAAAAAAACGTCGAGGCCAATAATTGTTCCCCTCGACAGTTTGTAGAATTTCTACAACGTTTGCAAAAAATGTCGCGGATTTCTTTCTGTTCCTCGACTTTTTATAGACATATGAGGGATAAAACGTAGAGTCAAACCATGGACGCTACCGGCCACTGGTGTCAAAATGTTACTTGCTGTTTCACAATTTTGTTATTAAATAACGAGGTTTATAAGTTCCCGCGACATTTAGTACAGAGCAGCATGTCTGTAGAGTATTTTTACTGCAACAGCACTGTTCCATTGTCTTGGAAGGAAGCACATGTTTGTGCTGCATTTAAGAAAGGCGATCCTTCTATGCCACATAACTATCGTCCAATATCCCTACTATTCTGTCCTAAAAAGGTTTTTGAACGTGTTGTATTTAAACATTTTTATAATTTCTTTCGGGATAACAACTTTCTTTCCACTTTACAGTCCGGTTTAACACCAGGCAACTCATCCATCAATCACCTTAAGTCCCTTTTGTTAAGCTCTAGGTAAGAAATCAGGACAGTTTTCTTTTATATTAGCAAAGCTCTCTTGATAAAGTTTGGCAAAAATATCTCATTTTTAAATTAATTAAAAACTGCTAGGTTGCATGGACGCCTTCCTGCATGGATTTCTAACTACTTCTCAGATCGTTGACAAGCTGTAACTCTTCCTGGTACAATGCCAAATTTGTTAATTGTCAATTTCCCAAGGCTCCATCTTAGGTCCCTTGTTGTTTCTTGTTTACGTCAATGACATTGGCGATAATCTAGGTTCAGTTGTTCATTTATTTGCTGGCGATACGAGTATCCATATCATCAGCTGCCAAAAATTTGCAATCAGATATTGATACAATTTCAGTTTGGGCTTCTCGTTGGCTAGTAACCCTTTATCCATCAAAATCAGAAACTATGGTCATTTCTCGATACATCCATGACGGGCACTCTGATACCGATCAAAAACAACTTGGCGTTACCTTTTCAAACGACGGATCGTGGTCTATACATATCAATTCTATAAAAGGACGAGCTTGGATGATAATTGATAAAAAAATCAAATAATGGGATCATTTAAATTTCAGGTAGATCCCTTGAAACCCTATACCTTACATTCATCAGACCTTTATTAGAGTATGCAGACGTATTATATGACAATTGTACCAAATATGAAAAAACAGAACTAGACAAAATTCAAAACGAAGCAGCTCGAATCATTTCTTGGGCTACAAAACTTGTTTCTCTCCATGAACTTCAAAAGGAAGTACCCAGGGAAACTCTCCATACTCGAGGAAAAAATCACAAGCTTATACTTTTTACAGGATGACTCACGATCTTACGCCAAACATCTTTTTTCTCTAGTACCACCATCCGTAGGCAATACCTCTAGATATAACTTACGTAATGCGGAGGACATCCAAACTGTGCGCACAAGAACAAAGCTTCATGGATACTCATTCCTACCCTTTGTAACACGGGACTTGAATGAACTTTCTTCCGAAATTCGGAATTCTTCATCACTGTTATCTTTCAAATGAAAATTGAAACATAATTTAAAATGTCCAATTATTTTTACATTTGGAATAGAAAACTGCAAGTTTTACACACACGGCTTCGCACCGGATGTAGTTCACTTATTCACCTACTTTTCAGAAACAAAACTTTTTCTCAGTCAGAACTACGAGTATGTAGCTGTGGTCTTACTGAAACTACATCCCATTTATTTTTCATTTGCCCACTTTATAATGGAATAAGAGAAGGTTTCATGAACATCTTATCAAACTACTGTATTGTAACACTACTATATGGCGACTGTAACATGAGTAATAATAGTAACTGTAATATTTTTCTTGCTATTTAAGATTATATCAGCAAAAGCAAGAGATTTCCGTAAGAACGATATTCTTATTCTATCAATGCCATACTGTTAGTGCCGTCTGGGAATATTGTCTTTTCTCTGCTTTCTTACTTCTTCTTTTCCTCTCTATTTCTGATAGTTGATTTTTTTACATTATAATTTTTTCAAACTTTTTTACCAACTACGAACTTTCTTCTTATTAAGTAATTACTCATTGTACCTCCAAGCATATCCATATACATACACACTGCCAAATTTAAGCAAATAAAAACTAGACGACCTATATCGGTTCTGATCCTTTTTCATTCATTTCATGTCTTGTATTAAGTTTTATTTGTAAATTGTAAATGTGTATGCTGTACTTGTTTGAAATAAACCATGTTTAAACTACTACAACATTTTTATTTTTTTTCCAAAGTAAGACTTCTCAAAATACTAAACCTTTCTAGTGTAACACCTCTCAGCAACAACAAAACCATTTGCCTCCCAAGTTATGTTGTTCTGTAATCATAGGATTACTTCCCTTAGTTTTATGTGCGCCATTTAAGAGGTGTAAATAAATGGGAAAAGTTGCGAATACTAGGTAATGTTTGTTCACTTGCATTTAACATATGCTCTGGTTATCTTTAACCCAGTTTAAATTTGTTATAAAAACCGAACTACGTTTTGCGAAAAGTTGTTCTAATTATAGACTATTAGGAGAATCTACAGTTTAAGGTTAGTATTTGTTTTGATATTTGTGTTGGTTATGTTTTCAGGGATTCTGTATTTATCTCTTTTATTGATAAATTTATGTGTTGTATTAATTTGCATATATTCATCCATATGATTCTCAGTTGTGTGTTTTTATATTATCATAATAGATATATTGATGATATGCATGCATGTTATATGTTATAAATGTTCCCTTTTTTGACATGCTATTTACTATACGTACTTGTAATGTGATAAGATGTACTCAAAATAATATTATTAAGGTTAAGTTTAAGTAGACCGAAAATAGGAAGTTTATACTTCGTTTAAATTGTTCCCCACGTGATAGATATCATAATTTTAATCTGTCGTTTGTTACAAAATTGTAGTAGAAATAAATTGCGGATATTATAACTTTCCGGAATATATAAATTAACATCAAAATTGGTATAGCGTACACGTTTAACAGCTGCACGGATCCATATTCCACGTTTATCTAACACAAAACGTATTATTTACAAATTATCTGAAGTTAGCCTGTAAATACAACATATAATGAGAAACTTGCACGTTATACAGAGATTCCAGATTTTACTTGTGGAGGATCGAAGACCCCATGTGCCCCTCACTAATGTAGAACTACCGACGTTTCGTAAGCTGACTGAATAGCTTTATTATATGAAAAAAATATATAGATCTATATTAAAAATAACTAAGACTATTAGAATAAGCAAAATTGTCAAATTCAAATGCAGATAACCCATTCCCCGATTTTGTTAACTTAAAATGTTTTCTATTATATTCTTCTTCAAAAATCATGGAAAGTTCAAATAAATCTTATGGAACAGTTTTAATTCTGTTTATAACAAAACTAGTGAACTTTCTTACCAGTAAAGTTAATATTACCTTCTCAAATATCAACAAAAGGATTTTAACATTTTACCAACCCGTCGTTAATTTTGTATATTTTAAGGAGTATTTAGTTAAAATTATGAATAAATGATATTGAGAATTACTTTTCTCGTTTCAGGTGTTTCAAACACTATCTCCATCACTTTATTTTAAAACGAGGCCTAAGAATGTCTAGTTTGGAAATTGGGTCGACATTAGATCGAAATTCTACTGAAAAGTTTTTCATTGAATATAAAGGATTCTTCAGTAACCATCTTGCGCATGGTGTTGTAGCTCTTCACAGGCTTGGAGTCCCTAACGAGAGAATCGAAAGATTCATTAAATGGTATTCTCCGAAATTGGAGTCGACAGAATCTGACGTCATCGACGATCGACCTTTCGAAGAGCTGAAAGGCCAGCGTTCTGCTTATTACACAATATTAAAGCACTACGAAAACTTACTAAGGGAGAAATACAAAACGGTCGACGAACTTATCAAACACGAGTACCCTGATGTGTCAAACGGTCTTTGTGGTTCGGCATTGCATGGAACTATCCATCTTGGGTATGGTTATTCCGTTCAAAATGAACGAATCATATTGGAAGGCTTAGCGTATACGTACCACTCATATCGGCCAATCGTCATGACAAAGTCGGAAGAGGATCTTGCAGCGTTCGGTAAAGGCACTGTTGACATCACTGAAGCCCTTAAAAGTCTTCATCTGAAAAAAGATCTCTCTGTCAATATGGAAGCTGCTATCAAAGAAGATCGCTGGAAGCCCTTGAAATTAGGAAGATTTCAGCTACGTGTGTTCTACATGTTAACAGACCATGGCGATTTCCTCACTGACATGGTTCTGTCCCTTGCGTTTGGACCGGAAGTAAGAACCGCTGACGGGTCTCTGGATCCAGTTAAATTTGGCAGACGACTTGTGTATCTGAGTATGACAGTTTATGCTCTGGCAGCAAACAGAAATGATTTCTTCCTTCTCCATGGTGTCACGTGTGCTTGGGGCCTGCATATGATTATGCCATTGATGTCAAAAGAAAACGGGATAAAAACTGCAAGAGATTACTTGACCGTACTCCTTGCCGTATATGTTGCAGTGGGGTCACCGGAACTAAACGTTCCTCTTTCGGAAAATGAGTTCACTGATAAAGATTGGACTGAACATATTGCCAAAACTGTTGAAGTTGATAGAGACGAGCACTGTTACAAGCTCGTGCAGGTTTGTTATGAAATGGCGAAGGACGCTGGAGAACACGGCGAAGATCCAAAAGTTTACAGTCAAGCTGCAAAATCTGCCATAGATCATGAGTTGTATTTTTACACAGGATGATCAAAAGACTTTCCTCAAAATGTGCTAAGGAACATTTACTCTTCAGTCGAAGGAATAGCTATTGTGCTAATTATATTGTCACATTGTAACTTCCAAGTAATATACATGTAACAGTAAATCCATACTGTTTTTATCTGAATGTATGACCACTGATTTCTAAAATCGAGGACTTCATGTACTTGTATGATGAAGTTTCCAGAAAAGAAAACAACACAATTTAAAAAAAAACTTTAACTTTTGCACGGATATGTCACCTGTAATATACTGATGCCCTTGTTACGAAGAACTAACTTATATATGTATACACGAACATTGTTCTGATTCTGTTATTAGATTATTAGATTGTTTGGTTAGAGATCGGTATTGCTGATATGCATTTTAGACTGTTTAATGATGCTTATGGGTAATTAAGGATGTAACATACAATTAAGCGAAGCTTTATATATGAAAATAATTATTCTTCTAAAACAATTTCCAAACATCCAAGAATATGTTAAATATGTACAACAATTGCTTATATAAAAATTAAAATTATTGCATTCATTTTTTATTGAAAAAAAAACTGGCTTAGACTTTATCGAAAAAAAATCTCATTACCTCCCTTTATTTACATGAAATGTTTAATTCGTTAATATTTTCCAAATTATGCTTTTTGGAATTTACAATATTGATAAATGTTCATTTGAGCGTTAGATTTATGATATAAAACCATAAAAAAATATGTTTCAGGGTCCTGCACAGAGTGACTGATCACATCAGTGTAAGGTTATATTCATGTACCACATGCATGCTGGAAAAAATGTCGTCTGCTATATAATTTATACCGTCTGCTTAATTATGTATTTTTATCCAATGATGCTGGACATTAAAAAATAACAGTCGAACAACATGGTTCCTGACAAGATACTGGGGTACTGGTTCGGTATCAAACTATTTTCATAGGCTTTTGAGATTGCATAATCCATCATGTCAATCAATTATAAATGATTCTGAAATTATAAAGTGCTTCAGCCTACATGTATGTGTTTGTTCTAATATTTCATAATATCAGTGTAAATTAATATACTTCTGTAATTCAATACATTCTAGCTTAAAAATTTAGTCGTCTGCTAAATATATCGTCTGCTAAACCAGTTATGCTCAACGAAAAATTGTCGTCTGCTAATTATTTTTGACAGGCTTCAGCAGGCTGAGTGATATAAATCAAGTGTAATTAAGATCCATGATTAAGATCCGGGATTCAATCAATCCTTTACTTACTAATGAGTGATTATATTGTTAAGTGTCATTGCTTCTTTTATATTGTTTGTGTTTATATAGAAATAAAAAGTATATATTTGACTTGTTCGTTTGAGTCCTTTCTAGAGTATATAAGTAACTCCAAGAGTGCCTTAATTATGATTCTATACATCCTATGTCTGTTAGTGAATATTTTGAATGCATACGATGTGTCACTCTTACAAAGAAATTGTTAATTACAGAAAATCCTGTCAGACTGAACGCCGAGGTATGACCAAAATGTGCTTAAACTGACGAAGCAATAAATCAAGTATTTTAGGGCTTTTGTGATTTTTAAGGGTCACTGATTTTGAATCGTGACAGCGAGACAGCGCTTTTGATTAAATGACGTGACTTAAAAGAAACAAACAATCAGAATTTTAAGTTCTTTTGCTGGGAACAAAAAGGCGCTGGTTTATTAAGAGTAGCACCAATAGCTTTGCTCTGAACAGAGCAGGCAAATATTGATGCACATGTGCATTAGTAATAAAGATCTATGACCAGTGAAATAGAAAAGGTCTGGGAATCGGAACTGTGTGGCATATCCCTCATTTTGTACATAAAGACTGACATTTTGCAGATGACCATAAAACAATGCAAAAACAGATTCCGATGATAAACTTTAATAGGGGAAGTAATGCAAACATGAGTGTACTATATGGTAAATAATTTACCTCCCTTTGATCGCTAGGCCAATGAACATAATTATTTTCGTTTATATGTAAATGTTTCTTGGTAATGTTTAGACGAAAAACATTTAGATGCAACGGACTTTATTCATTTATTTTCCCGTATTAAATGAAGGAAATGATGCGTAAATGAGTCTCGGTTAAGCTTCGTAAACATTCCATGAGAAAGGTGATTTTCAGATTCATACATATTTTTCATATATTTTCATATTTGAATTAATTGAAGATCACTGCAAAATGAAGAATCTTAAAAAATTTACAAACAAGTCAAATTTTTCCCGTAATTAACTTATTATTATGATTTTTTTAATAGTACCCGACTTGGATTATTTGGACAGTAAATTAAGTTCACAACGTATGATGTAATATAATTCATAAATTCATGTGCTATTTATATATACAATAGCATATTCCGCATGTACTTAATTTATGCACTGTGTTACGAGTATATAATAAATGTAAAAATTATGAAACCACGTTACTACTCGCGTAGGTTATCGGCTTTAAAAAATCCTCATTTATTTACTTGATAACTTTTATTGTGATAAACACAAGTTAATTAAATCAAATTTAACTACAAAAAAATACGCTAGAAAATTTGTACAAAATGTTCTGTTACATTAGGCAATATTTAAGCGACAACATTATATGTTGCCACATGGACTTATGAAATGAGTTCTATTTTCGGATTTGGCATGATACAGCTATTTGCATATTTAAAAGAAAAGTTGATTTAAATATCAGTCACTGTCCATATAATCTATTTTATCACCATCTCTCTTGGAAGGACTTCTTTTATACTTTACTTTTAAATGTCCGTTGGTATTTTCTGAACTTATATGGCCGTTTCCTAACAAATTACCGTTGGCAAATTTCTTTGGACTATTACTATTACAGTTTTCATCTTTCGATGATTCACTGTCCTCACTCTCTAGAACTTCTATTTCATCTTCAATGTCACTTTTCTGTAATTGAGCTTTTCTTGTACTTAGACTAGATGAACTATTTGAACTACTTTCTCCAGCGGATGAACACAATTTATAGTTAGTAAGTTCCTGAAACTCTTTACTTTGATTGTTAGCATAATCTTCGTTTGATTTATCTATAGCAGTCTTTATATGATTCCCTTCTATATCACATGTTACTAAGGCAGACGTGATGCGGATTTTAGTCTGAACATCCGTTTCCGGTGAAGACGCGCATGCGCCTTCGGTGTTCACTATCACGTGTTCATTTAAAATGTCGTTTTCATCGTCAGTTTCTGTGTCGTAATCAACAGCATCGTACGGAGGTGGCTCCTCGTCCATTCCGACAACGACTTCATAAGACGGAGGTGCATAAAGGCGGGTCAAAACGTCACCATTTGTTGACTTCCGGGTTGGCTTGCGTTTCTTTTTAAATTCAACGGTAATGTTTGTGTTGATCACCATTCTGAAAGCATGAGAAAATTAATTTGATAACCATACTGATGTTATCTTTAAAATGTGAAAATCTATTCTTCAGTATGGACTTTTATGCAAGCCTTAGCTAGTTTATACATACGGCACAGTCACGCGACGGTGACTTTTTATTACAAAAAGCAATATGTTTAGATTCAGTTGACTTGTCCATTAATAGCTTTTTTCAGTTAGTGATGGAGAATATATAGGTCTCATTTGCACGGAGAACTTGTCAAGAATGATGCATTAAGACAAACTGTTAGGATTATGCTCGACAGCTAGTTTATTACGATATATACAAAATATAATTGCTTTCAAATACCTCTTATTAATTCTCATCACGACAAAAACTATAACTCCTGCTGTGAGAAGGAACACAATAAATGCTACCGAGGCCGCCACTACCGCGGTTATCTGTCCATCTGAAAATTATACAGACATCATATTTATTGTATGTATTTATATAGTTACATCTGAAGATTTCAAATAACTATATTTAGATAGACCCATGAAGAAAAAATCTCCTGAACTGGAAGAGGGATTTCAAAAAGTTTGTTTCATTTTCTTTCTCAAATAAAAATATGTTCACTGTAATCGTTTGCCCATGTATTCATTGTTTATCCAACTTATGTATAGTGTAATGTTTATTAAATAGCAAGGTGCATATTGCATTGAATATTATTAATCGACGAAGTTTTTTTTTTGTATTTTTACTTGCTTGAACAGAACAAAACCAGATTCTAACCCCATGGTTTCCACGCGTTTGCAAGACCTTTATCACAATTTAATTCATCACTCAGATCATTATTGCCGCAATTGTTGTATCCATCACACCACGTGCTTAAAGGAATACATATGTCCTTCCGGTTACACCGGAAATAGCCTGGTCCACATCCGCCACGTGACTCTGAAAATGATAACAACGATCCGTAGGATAACAATTTTCGGAGCTGTATTAGATCATTGGTATTTTTAAATATTATTCACAAACTATATTCTAAATTATGGAGGAATCATAGAACAAACATAATGATTTATTTACTCTGTGTGTCGTTGCAAATTAAACTGAACAGAAAAAAGTGTACATAATAACTCTTAATTAAAATCAAAATATGGTAAACAAGATCAACAAGTAAAGGCGGAGTTCAATGAACACAACCCCAATACGACCCAGCAACAAGAACCAGTGGCAAGGAGCCCAGGAGGAATCCAAACAAAACAGGACAGGGCTCATGGCAGAGCACGGACAGACTAATCACTGAAATGATACTTTAAAAGAAATAATAGTAACAGACAAGGAAATTAAAAGAAAACAAATAAATGATTGATTAAAAAGCCCACAAAGTAAAGGGATATAGGGGAAAGGGATACGAAATTCGGGAAAGGGAGGGCAAAACAGGCCCTTAAATGGCTACCTCCTTTCATAATCGTCTCAGGTTAATGTATTTAGATTCTTATTGACCGCCGTACAGTGACCTACTTTTGACTCCGATCTAAATTAGTCGAAATAATGTGTGCCATTTTATTGCAATTTACACATGGTATGGTAATGTTTAAGCACAGACAATCATTTCTTGTCTGAGGACAAAGATTTAAAATATATCGAACAGTTAACGACACAATCATTAAATTTTGAAGATTTGGCGTTTTCTCTTACCTTTGAAAGAAGTGATGAGGATTCTAAAACCATCATACACCAGTGTTGGTTTGCCTTGATAGTCTAGTTTTAGTTTGTTGCCACTTGTGACGTAGTCAGACAACCCACCAGATACTTTACTATAGTATTTGTCATAAACTCCATAAAGTCCCTGGGCTGGGGATATTTTCCTAGCTATATTGCCTCCTTTGTAATCATAAATATGCAACCTGAAATACATTATTAAAAATATGTTGAATATTTATGTTAATTATTGAAATGTCCATTCAAAGCACACACAACGTTCGCTTAAAGCAAACGAAGCAAATGCAACGTTTGCTCAAAGCTAACCTATACATGCTAATTAAAGCAAACCAACTTTTTGCCCGAAGCAAACGCAACATTCACTCACAGCTAACCTATGTTTGATGAAAGTAGACCAAAGTTCAATTAATTTACCTAATGATCATTCAAAACATAACAATGCTTGCTCAAAACAAACCAAAGTTTGCAAAGAGCAAACCTTATAATCTCTGAAAGCAATGCAAACTTTTGCTATTTATAAGCAAATCAATGTTTGCTCAAAGCACACCAATGTTCGCTCAAAGCATACACCAATGTCCGCTGAAACTTCGCTCGAAGCATAGCAATGCTCGCTTTTAAAAGCACACTAGATTCTATCTAAATTCGTATTTTTTCTGTTAAGACAAAAAATACCAAAAGCAAAGATAAAGTATTTGTTGACGATGTTGACACTCGATAGGTAATCTGAATGAATTACCCTACATCTATATTTATGTTTCTCACTTTCATATTTCAGAAATGCTATTTATCATTATCGTTTAGTGTGTAAGGACATGTTGAAGACTTAAAGCTATCGCTTGTTAACAATTCACGGCATATTAAACCGCTTGTTTGCTTCTTGATAAGACTTTTTTCTGTGTTTATGGCGATTAGATGCAGTAGTTTCAACATTGTCAACATAAGTGGTGACTAAATGTACTCTCAGAAAACAGCTGGAATTGTTTGATGAACACTTGCAATGCACCAGAAGCAAACTAACAGCGTAACAAAAGCAACTAAAAAGACGTTTCGAGATACACTAAATAAGGTGCTATTTGGTTGTAACTGATAAGAATGAAATACGAGAATAATCGAGTTGTTTACAAGAACTCATTAACAAATCAACTTGTCTTAATGGCATTAGGGCAGTTAAAAAGTTGGGTTTGGGTGCGGATATCTGTCATTATTTCAAACTAGTGTTACTGGTTTTTATTTAGGGGCATTTGAGTTTTCCATTTTGTATCTTTAAATATATTCAGGGGCGGCGGGAACAAGCTACTAGTATATTTTTGTAAAATACCCCTTCATCAAGTACGTTTATCTTATTTGTATGTTTGAAAATAATTTTGAACATTGTACCTTTTCTATTCCGTTCTTACCTGTCAAGATCTTCTTCGTTGTCTGAAATTTCTAAAGATAAAAAGTGCACAAGGAGTTTGCGCGTCGGTGACGTCACAATGTTGATGTCGCACGTGAGGAAGTCTTTCCGGTAGTCCGGTAAGAATCTGTTGGTGAGTTCAAGCACGAGAGAGTCGTTCACCTCGACCTTACGGCGGTTGAAATAATAGTGGGTCATATATCCGTGCGGTGTGTGATGACCTGGATTGCATTCTGAAACAAAAAAAAACTTACATATTTAATCAACCGTTTACATGCAGTGGCACGTAAGTATTCTTTTTTTTATTTGTATGAAATACAGCCCTTAATCTTCAAATATATGCTGACCGTCACAAAGCAGACGATTCCATTTAACTTCCAAGTTTCAGTCTATGTAATAAACACAAGAATTCTATAAAAACTATGCGTGTCGTATTTGAGTTACAGTAAAAGTTAAAGAAAGTTAAGTTTAAAAGGGAAAAAAGTCAAAATAATAGTTCAAACTATTTAATAAGATGAAAGTTATGTGTAAATGCATTTAAATTAATAGATTTTCCCCACGCATGACATTAGTTTTTTATGAGGCAAATTACTAAGCAAGTATATTTTCGGTTACAGTGCACGTATCTAGTTCACATCTTTGTGACCGTTTGCAAGTACAAAATGTACATTATTTAATAAAAACAACGGACAAAACAAGATGAACTCGAAAAATGGACAAAACAACAATGGAATTGGCTACAAAGGGGTCTTATCCGGTTATAAAGTAGCTGGTCTTTGAGTAAAGTAGGATCCTAACTGTATGAAGCAGTGTTCTTTGGTCCTGTTATAAAACATGCGTTTCCATGTATGAGGAGCCCTGTGATTTGGTCTATTGAAGGAAACGGCTTAATTCATTCAGCAAAAAAAATCTACAGTGCTTCACAAAAATATTTGCGCACCCAGAATAGGGATGAAAAACTCACCACGGCTCCTAGTAGCCAAGTGACGAAAGGTAAAGCAGTTAAGGCCGAGATCGTTAAATGCAAGGATTAAGCCTGTAAAATGTATTTATTTTTATTTTTATTTTAATTCTAAAAAAATGTTTAGAGGATCTACTTGGTTGTAAACACTAATAATTATCTTCAAGGATTGTTAATACATTTATATGTTTATATGTTTTAGCTGCGAACTTCAGATTAGATAAAAACGATGAAATAGTGGGTATAAAAAACGATTAGAATATATAACTTTCTCGAACAAGTCTTTGCAACATTACACTGAGAAAATAGACTCCGAGCTGTAATTGAATTACACGGCAATTTATTAGCGTCTTGAGCACATAAATCTCACGTCCACAATAATTTATTTGGATATGATATTAGGGTATGCTATCAATAGGGTATTCAAAGTCATATTCAAACGTCGCCGTATTAATATGCATGAGTTATTGATACGTATTTAAAGACGCAGGAATTTATGAATACGTATATTCATCCTTTACCGTATATACTTCAAAGGATGTTAAAGCGACGGAATAAATTTTTGTTCAATTGATATATTTCTAATATTACAGATGTCAGATGTCGGAAATTAATTAAGCATTAAATCAAGGCGATGAAATACATATTTTCGACTAATATTGATTTCGGATAGAGTTTCCCATTTTATGAATCTTTACATTCTGTATGTAAAATATACGAGTTGTTCAGGAATTCATGACATGTAATGAATGATGCTATTATAACTGGTATATATATTATTACATTATCGCATCTGGGTCCCTTTCCCACAGTGTTGTTTTGTTATTTTAGATTTTGTTTGAGAAATCGCTAAGCCTGAAAGAGAACGAGGATATTTTCTATGGAATGAAAAAAGACATGTTTAAACATTGACTCTACTAAAAGCTATAAATTGTGAATCATATAATAAATTCATAAATGTAAATGTGGTTGTTTTTCCTCTTTCTCGTTTTCTTCGATATTTTTTCCGCCTGAAATATTTAACTTCAAATCAAATCCTACATGTAAAATAAAAAGTACATCAGAACAAACATTTTTAGTGACAATTATCAATTTCTTAACTGTAAGAATTTTATATTTATTTATTTATATTTATTTTTATTTTCTTGTTTGAAATGGGCATGATATTTTTTCAGGGTTTAGTAATTTTGTGAAAAAGGAAAATGGTTTTAACACCACAATATTAGCATTGTTCTGTTCACCGTCTTGTAATACATGTTATATGCAGCATAACCCATGACTTACAATAGATTATTTTTTTCAATACAAAATATTTTGTAAAAATGATACATATCACGAATAAAAAAAATCTCTGGAAAACATTTTATTTAAAGTCATCTACATGTGCTAGAATTTTTTTTCCATAACAGTTAGATTAGCTTACTCGGACAATGTTTGAATCGACTCTCATTAATTTATTGATTGATATACGTTTCTATTTTTCATATGCATGCATGTAAAATTATAGTGTTGTATATGGTTAATAAAAAATGTTTTGTAACTTTTGTTTAATAGCCATAAAGAATTTAGTTGCGTAATCTTTGAACATTTATTCTCCAAAAGAAAAAAAAGAAAATAAATAAATAAAATCAACAAACAAAATAAAAAAAACATTAAATCAAAGATAAAATTGATAAAATTATCTGAAATTTCCTTTTTGAAAGTTATATATCTTGAAAGATTAAAGAGTATTCAGTTTAATATGTAACCTTAACCCACAAAATGTTGGTTACCTGTATGTAAATCTAAATGTACAACTCTTGTTTTATGTAGAAATCATTGCGCGGCACAATTCACTCTCATTTGCATTTTAAACAGTAGAGCACACGGTATATTTATATAGTATCGCGATATATTTGACTCTAGTGTTTATATATGATAAGAGAAAATGCTCCCCAGCTAAAAGACGGTAAGTTTGAATCATATCGCAAAAGTCAGCTGATTCCGTTATCAAATTCATGAAAGTTTTAAATTTCTTTAATTATTATAAATACGTCTTGTGCAAATTGAATTTTCTTTATTCAATGAAATTGTTGAATTTATGACCATTTATCAAATATGTATACATGTACATGTATACTTTTTCATATACAACGTGTATGCAAGAGCTACACCCATACCCTTAACACCACCCTCGCAACATCTCAATTCTGCCCACCATTGACATTATAAATTATTAAGTATAATAGAGAAAAACAGAATCCCTAAAGAACTACCAAATTGACAATATTGAAAATGTTGCCGGCTCGGTTTAATTGAGCCTGTTCATGGACGGTAATGGAAAGTGCAAGATACCGCTCACGCCCCCTAGCACCGTTCAACATTTAAACATAAAAATGGTGAAATTTTGAATTTAGAAACATTCGAAAATGTGTTCATATGGCGTTTTTTTATGTAACCTTTAAAAACGTGACACTTTCGTACCATTCCAAAACAAGCGGCGTATGGTCCCAAAGTCAAAGAATGCGTGTGTCCTAAACGAGAAAACAATGGGCGAAATTAAACAAAGTTGAATTTTGAAAGAGGATCAGAGGTTAAGAAAAAAAAGTAAACCATGAAAATCAAAGTACTTCATTCAGTTTAGATACACATATTTAAAACGGATGGAATTTCACGATTTATGCTTTGCATGTTCTTATAGCTTTATAATTATACAAATTGCACATGGTATTGTATATACAAGCATTAAATGTCATAAATGGAGAAAAAACTAAAAACGAATTTAAAATTACAAAGCATCAAACGTTTTCCGGATTTGAATGGGTGTAATTTACTCAATAAATGCGAACATTACATGAAGTTGTCCCTGAATTTGCTATAGACATTGGAGAACGGATGAATTTCCTGAATTTCGTGATTTACAATATTTATCTAAGCAAGTTAATGTCAAGTCTAGAAAAGACTTTTAGGAAAAAGTCATCCGTTCTTACTTAATTCCCTTATCTTCAGATTAGAAACCTAGTTAAAACGTCGTTTTCTCTATCGATTTTCAAATAAATCATTCCTTAATGGAAAATATTTGTGCTGTCACGTCAGTTTTAACTACCGCCATTTCCCGAATATTATTCCACTACGGAGACGCTAAGTGGTTTCTATGGAAACCAAAGTCTCCAAGCCGGAAGCTGCGAATTGTGTTCTACTTCCGTTGCACGCGCTCATGAGCAGTCTCCGTGCGCAGTGAGAGCCTTTTAATTGCAAACGAGCTTTTCTCAATTTCAAACTGATTTCAGATTGATCGAAAGATCCGTGATTTCTTTGAACAGAGTGCTTGCTTTTTTCTACTTCAAACACGTTTGTATAACAGTATCATTTACAGAACTCGATAAAAAGGTTGAAAATAAGACTTGAAGCATAGACAAAAGCATAAATTTATACGAAAAGAATATGGAAATGATTATTCAACGAGTAAAATAAATGTACTTTATGTCTGGAATATGGCTTAGAAGACGAATATCATTTGTATGTTGTTTTTAACAAATAGATTACCATTTGTATGATACTGAAAAATAAAGAATTATTTTAGGGAATATCTAGGCATAAAGTTTTTATTAATGCAAGTCATTTAATTATATCTAGGCACCCATTGTATATTTAAAAAATGATTTATATTCATATAACTGTTTATTTTTCTTTGGGTTCATATCGGTATGAGGCACGGACTCGAAAATATTAAATTATTTTTTACCAGATACAGTCAGTGTACCATTTATGAAAAACAAAATCTGTTATTAAACCGGTGCTAGCGGGGTGGGGGCGGTGAGAAGACTATGCCATCTATTTACCTCTGCTATTAATTCATGACCAGGCTAAATCACACCGAGCTTAAACATGTTCAGTTTTTCCGTGTTCGGCTTCACCCTGATGGAACCGGAAGTGGTTAGCCATCATGCAGTCTGACCAGGCTCTATACTGTTAGCCCATTCTTTTGTATTTCATATCATAATTCTTTAGTATTTCATATTGTAATTCTTTAGTATTTCATATTATAATTCCCCAAATTTCATCTAGATTGTTTCAAATTCAAAGCAGGACAAATCCGTTCCACAAATTCAGCAGTAAATGGTTTATGTTTCGCAACGAAAATCATTATTCCGTCATGCGGGACCGAATTTGTGACAAAATAAACAAGAACAGACAAGACCAGACTATATGAATGTAACTCATTAACTCCAGATTATTCATTTTATTGAACTTAAGCACTCAATTAAGTGATAAATTGATTAATTTCACAAC